TATCATGATCAATCTTATCCTGAAGACCATGAATATATTTTAGGTGATGAGCATACATACCCTCTGGTAAACTAACATAACTATGGAAAATCACCATTGAAATGGGTAAATCCACTATAAATGGACCATGTTCCACAGCTATGTGACAAATTACCAGAGGGTATCCTCCAAAACCTCTCGTGTGGGCATGATACCAACTAAATCTACCCATCTAACGTGGACCAGGTACTTGGGGGCGCAGTTCCACTTCAATGGATGTGGCTTTTTTTTTCACCATAGTTTTTAGGGGCCCCATATCCCAACTTATGAAAATCATGGCCATAGTTACGGCCATGAACGTCCCCTCAACTGCACCCACAAGGAGGTTGTACATCGCATTCTATTCAATTTACATCCTATCAAATCCCATTAAACCACCATGTTTGTATGTTATCCAATGAATGGTGGTTTCCGAAAATAGGGGCACCCCTAGTTTTCATCCATTCGATTTTCGGATTTTCCATTATAAACCATCCACAATGGGGATCCTCGATTTATGGAAACCCCCATATAAGTTGGTAAGTTCAATAACTATGGTTTATAATACTTACAAAATCTTATACCCTCTGGTAAACTAACATAGCTATGGAAAATGGCCCATTTATAGATGGTTTACCTATTCAAAATGGTGATTTTCTATAGCCATGTTAAATTACCAGAGGGTAACTATAGTTTATGGGGATTATAAATGATGGGAAACCTCCAAAATTTCTATGAACTGAAACCCATCAATGACATGCCCGCTGACTCCGGGTTCCCCAGCAGAGCACTGCTTGGTTTCGGTGCCGGCTTCGGCCATCCGCGCTGCCGGGTTTACCTGGCCCCCAAAAGAGTAGCTTGGTGATTTAATCCATAAACATAGTGATTTAGATGGATTTATAGTTGACGCATGAGAAGTAAGTTGGTTTAGTTAGCTTATCTGTTGGGTTTAAAACATACATCGAACTACTTAGGGTGAAACTGTGAGACTATCATCTGCTGAGGAATTGCCCAGAGATACATTCAGAGTTACCCTGTTTCGGTGACCGGAAGATGATTTTGCTGGTCGGTTTGTGGCCCTATAGATTTTTTTACCTGTCAAGACATGTAGACTTGGATTGGATGTACCTTTAGCCATCAGAATTTCAGCGAAACATAACGGCAGACACGAGCTTGGCAAGTCATTTCGATATCAAATGTAGTAACATGATGTAATATGCTTATATCAATATAGTAACCCTGAAAACGATAGAACCCTAATTCACACCACTATTTTAGTAGGATTTCACTGTTCTATCTTTATGTTGTTTTTCTATCGTATCTCATCCTGGCAGCTGGCCCATTTATCCACACTTATCCACAATTATCCCCATTGATGTTCCAGTAACTGCAAAAACATATATCCCATTATATGTAACATTTAAGTATATTAAGTGATTATTAATACTCATTAAGATCCATTTAATGGATTCATAATACACCATTAATATGAAGTAATTTTGAATCTCCAATTCACAAAACTTGTTGTTTCGAAGAATCCTTGGTGAACTCCCAATTTTGAAGAGCCACAAATCATACGAAAAATCTTTGGTATTCCACCAGCAAAAACCACATTTGCTGGTTATACTTATTTTTTGCAAAAAACTCGAGGATTAGTTTCTAGCCATCCAGTTGGCTTCGGGGATGATTTTTGTTGCTTAAACAAGGTGAAACCCAGCAGTTTTGCTGTGCCCCGCACCGTGTGGCTGGTGCTTCCAACGGTCACCGATGCACTGGCCGAGGTGAGGCCTGGGCTCAGCTGGTGTATTAATGTTCATTAATAGTCATTAATGGTCGATAATGTTTGTGGTAGATAAACCCCATTAACTATAGATTATCGATATATCTTAAGAATCTTGGTTGGTGGCTTTAACCATCTTGAAAAATATGAGTTCGTCAATGGGAAGGACTATCCTATATATTATGGAAAATAAATGTTCATTGACAGTCATTAATAGTGGTTGATAAAGTTGATACATGTTCTGGTTTAAGCCACTTTCATAGCAAAATCTATAGATTCTAGAACATGTTATTTATGAGGATTTAATCCCATCCCATCGTTCCTAATAGTTATGGTTTATGATGGTTTAATGTGGGTAAAACTGTCATAAACCAGCCATTTGGGAATGGTAAACATACCACCTATTTATGGTGATTTGGGGGATGATTTCTTATTTATTATTGTTTTACCCCACATTATATTCTGGTATATTCTGGTGATATAACGAACTGGTTCATGGGGATTATAAACCAACAAACAATACTTTCGCAGATACTTGTGGTAAATACCCTTCACCAAATTGTTTGATTATGGTTTTCCCAAGTAATATTCCCCTCATTGTTGCGATTCACAATCCCATCAAATCTTATTGTTCATTTATCTCAATCAAACACCATATTTTGATGCTGGAAAAACCTACTTGAATGCTGCTTCCCCATTTCTGATGGTTCGGTTAAATGCTTATATCCGTCCAACGTTTCCGCAGAAATGTTGGTTATTATCATATCCCTAATATATTCCCATAGTTTTTGGTAGAATGCACCACATTCCTAGGTTTCCCCCGATACTTTATGCTGAATACTCTCTTGCAAACTAACATAGCTATTTTTTTTAAATAGGCACATAATCAAGTACTATGGTCTATGGCTTCCATAGCTATATTAGTTCATGGCCAATCTTAGATACCCTGCAAAACATGACCGATTCTTTGCTGGTGAACGTAGATAACCCCATACCAAAAGATTATTTTCAGATTAGTCAAACCACCCATCCAAGATTGCCCTAGATATCCCATTCATCCCCATGATTAATATCCCATAACAATCCCGTTTTTGTTGATGGTTAAGTTCCCCTATTTCTTGTTGGTCCAGAAACATCTACCCGTCTTTCAGATTATCCCATTAACATCCATTACCCTCTGGTAATTTGTTACACAGCTATGGAAAATCACCATTTTAAATAGGTAAATCATTCATAAATGGTCCATTTTCCATAGCTATGTTAGTTTACTGCAGGGTAACATCCATTAAGATCCAGAAACATCTTAGATTGCCCCAGAATTACTGGAGGCTAGCCTTCACCACTAGGCCTTGTTGCCCCCAGTGGCTTTCGTTTCTGAGCTTCCTGGCAAGCCACTGCACAACTGCTATAGCTGGCAGACAAGCCACCTTTGATACAGGTCACCTGGGCCAAAGATGAACCGTTGGGAATGAACTGCTTCGATTAATATGACCTATTTTTACATCTACTATTAATACCATAATATATCATAATATATGATAATATATAATATATATATACACACTATATACCAGAATATACCATAGTGAATTATTGTAATGATGATCCATATGGGTTTGTATCTCAATGTTGATGAGTAATCACCATTATTTTTCGATTGTCAAATGTCAACACATCCTCCATGTTCGGAAACACCAGGTCTATGACAGATTCAGATATGGGGATGGGTCTTCAAAACCCATTCACGAAAATCTCATGAATCATGAATAGAAATCATGAAATATCCAGTTATCTCTCCAGTGACATCATTTCTGGTTGGTGGTTTACCTACCCCTGTGAAAAATGATGGAGTTCGTCGGTTGGGATGATGACATTCCCAACTGAAATTCATAATCCAGCCATGTTCCAAACCACTAACCAGAGGTATATCCCATCTGGTTGGTGGTTTTAACCATCCTGAAAAATATGAGTTCGTCAATGGGAAGGATGACATCCAATATATTATGGAAAATAAAAGCCATGTTCCAAACCACCAATCAGCCAGTTATCTCCCCTCTGAAATCATTTTTTTTGTAGGTCAATCCGATTATCCCCATAATATCACCGCATGGTCTGAGCTGAGCTTCGCAGCACTTTTGCTGGCGAAATATCATCTTGGTTATAGAAAGTTAGGAATCTCTCTGGTAATTTGACATAGCTATTGAACATCACCATCCTCAATCAGTACATATTGCGGTAGATCACCTGTAAATGGGCTATTTTCTACATGGTGGATCTTGGACACCCGTCAAAAAATCTCATTTTTCTGCTGGTGTATGGACTATTTTTACCAAGGTTGACCCAGTCGCTATGTTCGTTTCCCAGAAGGTATCCACATCTGCCGCCCCTTTTCCAAGTGATGCCGTAGCTAGGGTTTTGAAGGCTGTGAAACAGTGGCGAAGTCATCCCCCATCAACGGGCACACGCCACAGCCGAAATAGTTGGCCTATAATAACCTCGGCCTCATTTGCTATGAAAAGCCTCCCCTAGCCATGGTGGATGTTGGTATATCACCCGCAAGGGTGTCATCAACCATGGCAAGCTGGGAAATACCCAAACCTATGGAGGTCTATAGCTGGGAACATCAGCGAACTCAATATCGTAAATGGTTCCTTGTTTGACTACTGGGAGGTAATTCCCTGGTTGTACTTGGATATGTCGGGCGTGCCCTGATCGTATACCAACAAAAACCAAGTCTTGCTCAAATTGAATCCTCATGATTATCGTTTCTAATTTCTTAAACAACCAATATATCAAGATCATTTCTTGAGACTTATATTTTTAGTCTTTAAAACACAGTCATGATAATTTTTCCATATAAGTATGTTGACGGTTGATAATCCCCGAACTAATCATCAACCATCATCAAATCTATCCTCATCGTTCATGGTGAATTGCAACTTGAACCCCAAAAACATGATGATGAAACTTGGATTTGATAGTTCCAACATTAGTTTATAGGTGATACATCTATAGTTAATGGGCTTATTAGCCAACAAACAGATGAATTGTTCCCCCCCAAAACGTTCCAACCCAACTTTTCCCCAAGATTGGTGGATGGAATCCCGTTGCTGGGGATTCATAAGAACAGAAAACCTCAAACAAAGCCAGGATTAGCGCATGGAAATCCCCCTTAGATCTCTTTTAGATCACCATTTTTCATCGAAAAATCGCCATAACCGGGTGCCAGCATCGGGGCAAGCGCCACCCTACAGGGCCACCAAGTGGTGTTAACTAAGAATTTGATTGCGCGGTCGCGGTCATGCAGTCGCTCCTGGCAGCGCTTCATTGGGGATTACTCTCTGCTAAACTCATATAATTTGGGAAAATCAAATGAAAATCACAGTTCTGATAGGTAAATCATGTAAATTTCTATGGATATTTCTATGGCCATTCTGAAATAGGTATGTTAAACTACCAGAGGGCAACCACGATAACCACGATAACCATCGAAATTATCTCATGGGCTAAGGGGATAAAAAAATCCCGACCTTTGTCGAGTTTCGGGTCTGATGATCGGCAGAGGATCATACCAGTTTCATCATAACTAGCGCCACCATGCATACCCTCTGGTAAACTAACGTAACTATGGAAAATCACCATTTTCAATGGGTAACTCCACTATAAATGGCAATTTTCAATAGCTATGTTAAATTACCAGAGGGTAGTTATAACCCAGTTATAACTGGGAGACTTGCCGCTTAGAGACTTAGTGCACAGAAACTCACCAGGCGGAAAAGCAGTTACCAAGCAGTTACAAAGTGGGATGATCCAAGTCGAAATACAGGGATTCATGGGGACATGGAATAGGAAGACTGGTGGTGCATCATGGGATTCGCAAAAAAGGCGACATACCATGGTGAGAACGGGGACATACCACTGTGGTTATTTTGCTTGTCTCATCCAGCAACCTGAAAATAGAGAACAAAATTAGGCCATTTGGGGATGACTTCCCTGATCATTCCAGTGACATCACGACGTGAGGTCATTATATAATCATCCTGAGGATCATCCTGATATGTTCCACTACATTCCATTAATACTCATACTTCATAAATATCTCATTCTATCTTGGTATATCCTGGTTTATCCCGGTGATATCACCAGTTAACTCCACATAATTGTGGGCTCAAGGCCACAATGAATGGACAGTACATGGTTTATGCCCCAGCGTCATCCATAGTCCATATAGCTGGTGATATTTCATGATATTTCTATAATAAGCTGGCATATATTTCCATTTAAATGAGTCTATTTTTTTTTTTTGGCATACTTAGGCAGGCCAGAGGTGATTTTTATGGATGTAAACCATGGTGGATCATGAACCCCCGTGTTTGTTGGGATATCGCCCTATAACTATGGTGAAGCCTGTCACTTCTTCAACTGGAACTGCACTTCCAGTCGTATCTCGTCCGTCAGTACTTACAGTGGTTGATCATGGGAATATATCAATGGCCATTCCAGGATCCGATTGATTGGAGGTACCTACCATATATAAGGCCTTTGTTTAAGGCCTATGTAAGTGAATATCCCCACAAAATATGGCCTGAAATATGGTACAGTACCTCCATCTGTTGGATCCTGGAATTCCCATTGATAGTGGGATTCCATGGGAATTCCATGGAGAATCCCACACCCCGTTCAACAAAACAACACCTCTCCATGGTCCCAAATATATCTGGTTGGTGGTTGACCTACCCCTCTGAAAAATCATGGATTTCGTAAGTTGGGATGATGACATTCCCAATATATATATATATATATGTATGGAAAAATAAAAAATGTTCCAAACCACCAACCAGATATGATTTGATCCTCTTCTAATCTATGATTGATATTGGGGGTGTTTTATATGAACGGGGCAAGGGATTGTTCTACTATCGTACCCCAAATAATTCTTTCCATCCATCATAAATCAGATAAATCAGTGGCCAAATCCAGGAACCTCCAATTTAAATTGGAGGTACCTAGTCACTAAGTCTATTTTGAGGGCTATGGAAGGTGATATATCTCCAATTATGGTGTTTTATATGACTTAAGTTTTATATGACAAAGAGTACTTCAAATGGATCGGTAGAAATCAATGGCCATATCACCTACCTCCTTCGGACCTTTCTTCGTCACAGCCGGAAAGGCGGAAGGGCTGAGAAAATAGAGCTGGGAGCTGGTCCACCATGGTCAAATCTCTCCCCATTTACAGCAGATGAGTATTGAAATGTATAAGATCAGGGCACAAAAATCATCAAAAATCCAGTTGCTTTTCACCAAAATTTTGAATCTTAAATGCGCCATCACTGGTTGTGATTTTGCACCGCCAGAAATCCCTTCCCGTTGGGTTTCCGTAGCGACCATGATTCTGAACCATTTCTTTCGGTTAGAGAAAGCATATGTTTGCAGTATCCCCATTTACAGCAGAAGATTGGCCAGTTTTTCGTAGAAGAAAACAGGATAAATCAGAAATGATGATCAAAGTTCCATTTATGGCTTTTCATCTGCATTCATGTGGGATTTTTCAGCTCTGGTCATTTCTGGCCCCTTGGGTTTTTCCAAACAGCGTAAAAAACCAACATCTGCCGCACCGCTGCCTGTCGCGGCCTAGGTGGACAAATAGTTCATCGTCAAAAGCCTGGCGCATTTGTCTCATGGCATGGGGGCCGCGCAGCGCGCGCAGCCAGGAATCGGTTATAGTCATTTATGAAATTTGGTGGTTTAATGGGATTCCATGGGATTTGATGGGATGTAATGAATGAATAAAACTTTTGTCAATGTCTTAGATGGGCAAACACATGTTGTATTAACTTGTTTCCGTTAGTCATGATATATCTCCCAAAAACAGCAAGATATTTTTTTTGGTGGGGAAAGGCCAGCTTGACTTTCATGGATAAAATCATGATGGTATAGAACAGCTACTAACCATGGTTACTCACAAGCTAAGTTACTAACTATGTTTTCTAACCCCCACAAGGTGGTGCCCCCCCCAGTGATGTTTGTTGGTTTATAAACCATAGTAAGTAGTTCGATATATCTACCATAAACCATAGTGTTCAATTGGAGCTATGAACGCACCAACTTAGCATTTTCACAGCTCACGAACGGGGCACCACCTTGCATGTTTGTTGGGATATGCCCCAAGTTACCACGGTGAACTATCTCCAGGAACCGTGAAGCGTACAAATCTCCAGCTCCCTGCGCCCTCAGCTTGGGGACTTTTCGTTCAAACCTTGGTACCTTAAATGATCTGACCTGGACGGGTGCCAACTAAGTAGCTGTAAGCCATTGATGGGAGCCACTCAAGGTTCATCCACCATGGTATCCATAAACAATTCACCTCTGACCTGCCCAAGGATGCTATCGGATGTAAAACATGAGGAACTCGTCATTGCCGTCGCCACTCAATGGGCGACACACGCTGATTTCGTCATAGCCATCATTGGTGTTGACGGTCCGCGTAGGTATTTAAAATCCATCTTGTGCTGCGGGTTTTGCGCCCTTAAACGTATTTGTCAATTGTGATCATGATGACAAGTAGTATATCTACTAGTTCCCCCAAAAATAGATAATTCAGTATATAAAATATCAAGTTTGATAATATCAAAATGCCAAACAAGCAGTATATCTACAAGTTCCATGCTAAACAAATCTTTATCTTATCACTATTTTAGTAGGATTCTACTGTTTGGCATCAGCAATTCAAGGTTACTATGAATCCAGGACAGTTCCTATAAGCGATCATCGTGTTGAGCTTTCAATCCTGAAATCGTGGGGCGGCTAATCAGATTAATCCTTTGGTAAACTAACATAGCTATTGAAAATCACCATTTTAATAGGTAAAACGTCTATAAATGGTCCATTTTCCATAGCTATGTTAAATTGCCAGAGGGTAATCCTTTGGTTGATTGTAAAAAGTGCTTCAACCCATCCCAAGCTATTTCATCTATTTCTATTACTGATCGTCATATAGACCCTATAAATCCCAGTGAAATTGGACTTAACTTAGCGTGAACAGCTCACGAACGGGGCACTCTGTACAGCTCACTTATGGCCTCTTAATCCCAACCAGCCGCGCTGTTGATGGTCAACGCCTATGTTATATCACCATTATTTCCCATAGGATTTGAGTGATATATATATATATATATCCTATATAGATATTGTTACCAAAATTTGAATCTTATATTGATATCATATCCAACTTTTCATTGCTATAATGGGATCCAGCATTGTCCTTGTTGATGGCATCAATGGATCATGGCTGAAAAACCGGCCCATTGTCCTAGTGAGGTCGGCAGGTGGCCCCATGGCGGCGACTTGCCTGGCCAACTTGCTGGGCAGTTCCTTGTACAAGGCCGCTCCGCCGGTGTTGTCGCTCTGCCGGGCCACCGCCTCAGGCGTGAAACACATCGGAAACACCTGGGAAAACTACGGGGAAAACTATGGGAAAATATGGGAAAATATGGGAACAACGATGTTTTTTTTAATGGAAATATAATGGGAAATTCATCATGGTTATATTTGGTGCTACATTTTTTTTGGATGAAAAAAACAGCCGAAAATCAAGTGTTTAGCAGAAAACACGGGAATTTCAGCGGGAAAAGTGGATTGGTAAGCAGTAAAATCAGTGTTCAGTAAGGCTTTTCCAACACCTGAATTGGATCTTAAGCCGCCAAAATGGGATGTTAGTAAAGATGTGATGTTACCCTCTGGTAAACATACAAAAAGCTATTGAAAATGGCCATTTATAGTGAGTTTTCCCAGTGAATCACCACACTTTTGTTAGTTTACCAGAGGGTAACCAACAGAAGAATGTTTGAACAGTGGAGGTGTCACATCACTGTTCTGTTTGATCGTCCTGGCAAGGTCTTTCTGCAAAGGAAATTGGGGCCTGGAGAAAGAAAGTAGCATTGAAACCCAATCCCAACAAATGGCAATTTTAATGGGACCATACTTAATTTTACCGTCAACATTTTGGGGTATCCTTATTTTCGAACCCGCTCCATGACTGGATTGCTTTCTATTGCTTTTCAGATGAAAGCTTAAATGCAAGAAAACATTTTATGGGCATGCCATAGTCTTGAAGCACTTCTTAATGTTCATGTCATATTTTGAGTTTCACCATGTTTCACCTCGCACAGATTACACCACACATATTCCCCCCACTCATTTCAGCCATGCTGGCCATGTCAAGATCTGCCACTCTTCGCTAGTGTCAAATTGAGGGTTTCACCCAAAGGTCCCAGATTTTTTTCGCTATAAATCACCGGCTTCTAACTATTCTACGGCCATATGTCCTCGAGAAAAAACCATGCTTTATCTTAGTGTTGCGTTGCGGACCCCGCAGGTGGTACTAGCTTTTTTTTTCCGGCTTAGAATCCCCATAACCCGAGATATAACACCCATAATATCATAAAACTCTGTGAAATTGGACTTATTTGCACCAAATTGGCGATTGCGAACTGGAGTTAGTGGGAATCTAAACTTTTGGCCTTGATTTCCACGACGTCAATGTAAGGATCTGCTCTCCGGCAATCAAACATCAGGGTTTTCATTCGAAAATAAAAAAAGTCGTTACTACAAAAGTTGGATCAACAAAGAAAGTCGAACTTATTGCTAGTTATATATACCCTCTGGTAAATTAACATAGACCCTGGCAGATAGGGGTTGGAAGACTAGTTTCCATTAAAAATGGGTGATTTTCAGGATCTATGTTTGTTTACCAGAGGGTAATATTTGCCCTGTAGCTTCTTGACCATCTTCTTTTTCCTTCACATTCCGATGATGTCTGAGACATAGCTCCTTGGTACACCACCTTTTTTATTTCTGGGTGTATTTACAAGGTGGTGCCCCAGGTCGTTAGCTAAATTAGTTTATAAGTCCAAGAACTATGGTTTATAGGTGATACATTTATCTGGGTAAATTATAATATTTCACTAACCTGTATTGTTGGGCCATTTGGGGATGATTTCCCGCAATCTAACCATGATTCCAGGGCTCGGTCACAGTGAGGTCGTGATCAAATTTACCCAGATCTATATAGTTAAATTAGTTTATAAGTCCAATAGTCCAATAACGTTTATAGGTGATACATCTATAGTTAATGGGCGAAGCTAAACCAACTTATAGCGGGTGGGGCACCACCTTGTAAGGGCCTCCAACGTTCATTAATCACAAGAATCGTGATGAACCCAGGTGATCCCATGGAGATTTCTCCCCAAGAAACCATGGAGTGTACTACCGGTGGTGCCTCAAATCGCTAGCTAAGTTGGTGCAAATAACCCCCATTTCACTAGGGTTTATAGTATATATATATATCTACTAATGGGGTGATAAACCAACATTGACATCACTGGAGGGGCACAAGCATCTGACCCCAGGATCTTCATAGGATTTCGTCCCAGTGGCAGCTCGTTTTCGGTCCTCATCCTGTTGGAAGGTCCACTCATCCAAGGCGTCCTCAGTAACGTGGGTTCTGATGGATTTGTCATCCAAATTTGATCATGTGATAGGTCTGGCTGATCATAACTGACAAATCTGAAATAAGGCCAACTACCCTCTGGTTATGTCAAAATAGCTATTGAAAATGACCATTCATAGTGGATTTTCCCATTAAAAATGGTGATTTTCAATAGCTATGTTAAATTACCAGAGGGTATTGCTTTTTTTGGTTCTAAGCATCCAGTGACGATAGGTCATATGTTTTTTGTGGGATAATGGTGATATTTCATGGGATTATAAACTCATAGAATGGGTTGATACGAATGGAATATCCCCCATTCAGAAATTATATGAACACCACCATCAATATAAACATGTTTTTTTTGCTTGGGGTGAAAAAACGTATGTGACTGGGACCATAGAATAGGGGTGTTACTGATATGAACAGGGGAAGGGCATTACATTTTTTATATCTCTAGATGCATCTCTAGATTAAGATTGTCTATATCACCTAGATCATAACTGCTTGGTGGTTTTAACCATCTTGAAAAATATGAAAGTCAATGGGAAGGATGACATCCCATATATGAAATGGAAAATAAAAGCCATGTTTGAAACCACCAACCAGATAATTACAATCATCATTAACCATCATTATCCCATGATTATCCCATTATTTGGACAATCAACACCATCATTTCATATGACTAGAGGATGGGACTAGATCCAAATATCTGGATATGTCATAACTGGTTGGTGGGGGCGACCTACCCCTCTGAAAAATCATGGATTTCGTCAGTTGGGATGATGACATTCCCAATATATGGAAAAATGTTCCAACCACCAACCAGTAATGTTTTTCAATCTCGTATGCCTAAAAGATGCCTTTCAAAATTGACATGTTTTACTGGTTGCTGGTGCAATAACATCTTGAAAAATATGAGTTCGTCAATGGGAAGGGTTATCCCATGGAAAAAAAAATGTTCCAAACCACCAATCAGTAGTTATTTCCTAACCTGAAATGTTGGGCTTTGGGAGAATTCCCTGACTCCTACCTATGATCCCAGGATATATCAGGGTTCGGTCACGACGGCTTCGGTCACTTTTATTTCATTGCCAATCAGCCAGAGGGCCCCTGCAGAAAATGACAGATTCTTAGCTGGTAAGTAGATAATCCCATTGATACTAAAAGACTATTTTGGATGAGTTGAACTACCCATCTAGGATTGACCTGTCGTAATATCACCCAGAAATATGGTGTTGCAATGTCTGGAATGGTTTCAACTTTTAAGCAAATTATCTCTCGTGGCAATGTGAAGGCTGAGAATGGAACCTTTAGTTGTGGGAAAGCCATGAAAAATATGAGTTCTTTTTTTGTAGATCGTTCTGTTGGATATGGTCCCAAGATGGAAATACCATATGTGTATGAGCTGGTAATTGATAGATGGATCATACGACCTAGTGCAAGGATTTTTCAAATATTCTGGGAAGAACTGGTAGTGGTTTGACCCAGTTACCCAGTTACCGGTAATCAAAGATGGCGGGAAAAATCCCATGATTTTACCAGCGAACTAAACCTCCATAAGTCATGGAACCATATGGAACCCATGATTTTCGGGGAGTTCCCAGTCATTTTTGATTGCCGAAGGGCAAGATCGTCACCCTGTTCACAGGGGAACAACAACCACATGTTCAGATTCGAATGGGGAACATGATTTCCTAAATCAGCAAATTTGGGAACACACTTTTTTTTCAAACAAATCAGTACCCTCTGGTAAACTAATATAGCTCTTGAACATGGCCATTTAGTTCATAGTTGATTTACCAACATAAAAATTCTGGTCTTCCATAGTTTTTTGTATGTTTTCCAGAGGGTATACCTTCGGTTTCACGCCAATTTCCCACGTGAACCTTCCACCCTTGCAGCCCAAAGTCCAGTTTGTTACGACCTGGCGTTGAGTCATGGGGGATGGTTTATGGCATTGGTTTACCAACATTATATACATTGATTATATATATATAACCAATGATATCCCTATATAGAGTATATATATATATATATGGCATTTTATACATTTATTATACATATTATATACATTATAGACAGGTTATATAACCATGATATCCCTATTACAACCTGTCTATCCCTATATATCCATGATATCCCGATACATTACCAAGGAACTAATTGTGGGGTTTCACGGGATAGCCCATCCCCATATTTTCAACACGCCCATTCTGTCCCAGAATGTGTGTAGATCCACAAGACCATGGGTGAAAAATGGGTGTGAAAAATCTTAGGGGGATGGGATTACTGTTTAAAAATACCTATGGCTATGTTACTGAAATAGATAATATATAAATATAGATCATATAATATGTATGGCTATGTTTAAAAATACGTGATCATACAAATATATACCCATTTTAGATGTCCTTTTGGTAAAAATAGAGGCGCCGGGAGCTGGTATATTTTGGTATACCATCTATCATCATTTACCTGTTGTTAAATGGGTAAACAAACCCCTCTTTTCATCAACCAACCAATGGGAAAAGGACATCTATGTATATACCCATTTTAGATGGACACCTCAAAATGTTGCGCATTTACCATATGGGGACGGGACATTTTTTTCCTCGACCACAAAATCAAGCCCCATGTCGAAGGTGGCGTAGTGAACCCTTGATTAACCGGTGGGATAACTATGGCAGGTTCCAACATAGGGGGATCCTAATCTAGTTTGAACACCCAAACGTCAATCATCCCAGTTCAAAAAAACACAGATAAGGATGGAACTTAAAAAAAATGAAACTGCGAAGCAGTATGTGGTCAACTAGCTTGGAAGCAGAACATCCGTTGTTTTACACGGCGTATGCTCAGGATAGCCGGGATACAATATTGCTTTTCCCACCAAGAATCATCCACTTTGGAATGATTTTAGGACCATTTTAGGAAAACAATAGTGGTTGACAGTGGTTGAGATTTCACCCAAGAGCCAACGACAATGCTAGATCATATATTAGCATGTCAGCATATATTGTATATGAGGTTTCCTCAGTCATGGGAGTGCCCGCAGATATCATCCAAGTCATGGATGACCATGACTTAGTATTGAAACCCACAGTGACTTGGGGATCCACCATTTTAAGAAACCCCCATGTGTGAGAAGATGTGTGAGATAGAATATCCGTTGGTAGGGATCACTCGAAGAAGGTAATTTTTCTTAACATCCAGGGTATAAGCTCACCATGGTCAGTCTTAAATTGTTGGCACAAAATCACAAAAACAGTGCTCTTCAAATACTCAACTAGCCTTCACCAGTTGGTTTTCCCAGGCATCACATCGCTTCAGTTTTGATTCCTGACCCGCTTCAGAACAAGGTCTCCACAAAAGGTCCATCAGCTATCAAAATTCCTTGACCACTGAAGTGGGAACATGCCATACGACTGGAAGTGCAGTTCCAGTTAGAAGTGGAGATGTAACCATAGTTATCCCAACTTATAGGGGTTTATAACCATTTTTATGGAGCTTACCCTCTGGTAAACTAACATAGCTATGGAAAATCACCATCTTTGAAAGGTAAACCAACTACTTCTATGTGCCATGTTCAATAGCTATGGTAGTTTACCGGAGGGTATATGATCCGTAACTTCGTACCTTCAACTGCACCCCTTTTTAGGGGATTGGGAGGATAACCATCACCGCATCGGAACTCTTCAACCGACTTCTCACGTTTTTTTCTTTGGAGGTTTCTGAAGTCATGGGGGCACGCCCAAATCATCAAAGTTATTAAACGACGATGAACACCTATTGTGAGTTGGGGATCCCCCCATGACTTAAGAAACCCACCATGACTTTGAAATTCTGCCTCTGGATCCTATATTTGGTCAGTTTTCTAGATTCGGAAAAAGACGGGATTTTATAGTTAGTTAGCTAAGTTAGTTTACACCTAGTTTTAACTATTCTGTATCGTAGATATATCTATAGTTAATATTAGTTAATGGACTTTATGAACCAACAAACATCACTATAAACCACATTATAGATGATATATTATCTATATGTATGTACACTTAATATCTATGGTTTATCTATGTCTATCTGATCTATCTAGGCATATCTATAGTTAATGGGGGGGCCCACATAGTAGCTATGCTATAGATGGCCCATCGATCATCTCTCCCAACTGGTTGCAGAAATCACCATGTTTGATGTATACACCTCCATTTCTGATACCCTCTGGTGAACTAACATAGCAATTGAAAATGGCCATTTATATTGGATTTTCCCATTAAAAATGGTGATTTTCCATTGCTATGTTAGTTCACCAGAGGGTAGTGAATAAGATCATTTTTTGATAGTCAAACCACGTCAACGCACCATTTCTGATAGCTAAACCGAAACCACCTTTTTTGTGGGTTTCCATAGTCATGGTGGTAATAGCTGGGCGGTTTATTTCATGGAAAATCCATCTATAAATGGATGAACATTCGGGGTACCCCCATCTTAAGAAACATTACCATATCTCATTCATATGCCATTTTTGATGTACAGCTAGGCCCATTTTTTGGGGAGTTTACACATCACATCAGCGATTTTTATAGCGATGACCTCCCTTTGCCAAGGTACCTTTGGATCGTTGCCGGCGAATCTCGACGTCTTGCAGGGGACTCAGATAGCCTACGGATGCCGCGACTTTTCCGGTGGAAAGCATAGCGTTGAGTTGCCTAGAAAAAGTGGCTGAATTCTATGGTAGATATTTCACGAAGTAGTTGATGGGGTGAAACTAAACCAACAAACATAACTGGAGGGCACCATCCTGTATAGGTAGCCTAAATAGATGGTTTAGATGGTGAATGGATGCTCCTTCCCCCAGTCATGTGGTAATTTACATCGCAAAATCATCGTCAAAGCCAGGATTGGATCTGATCCGAAACGCGCATCTGTCCGAATTCCACCAAGGTTTCATAGGGTGTACCTTGATATGTTGAATCCCAAGTAATTTTGTTTGCTATCCCATTCATATCCCAATCATTTGATTATGATGATCATGATGGTGATGATGATGGTGATGGTGATGATGATGGTGATGATGATGATGATGATCATGATGATGATGATGATGATGATGACGATGACGTTGATTGAACAGTACATCCCAACTAATTTGATGATCATTGAGCAGTGTGACCTAAACCCTGTTTAGTCCCGTATTATATTGGTCTGTGGCAGGATTCCCCGTTCACGAATTATGAGTTCATCCCCCAATATGATAAGTGAATAATCCCCGAACTACCCTCTGACAATTTAACATAGCTGTGAAAATTCACCATTTGTTGTAGGTAAATCTTCTGGTGGGTTCCATACATGCTGGTATCCCTAAATAGATGGATAATTTCATGGAAAATCCATCTATAGATGAAAACTAGGGGTAGCCCTATTTTAGGAACCTCCATATCGAATTAGTTATGGTCAGTGATGGTTATCATGGTCTAGCCTCCGGTAAACCAACATTAACTGTTGAAAATCAGATTTTTTTGTAGGGAAATCATCTATAATTGAACATGTTCCATGGCGATGTTAGTTTACTGCAAGCTATCATCAACCGACAGGGGCACACTGAACACTGCTCGAATTCCCATGTTGCTTAGACTATGGATTACGTCAGATTATTGAAGTATCTTATAGCCGAATATCAGATTGTTGGTTGGATATCCCATATATATTTTAATATTCCATTATATCCACTTGCATCACCATGATCCAATGAAACAAAACATTAAAATCGGCTTACTCACCGTAACATATCCATTTCCCATTGTACATCTCATCTCATATCCCCGTAGATTCCCATGATCAACATTGATCAACCACTACAAACCGCTATGGCTGGATCGTTAGATCATGTTTTCTCCCAATTTTTCTTGATTAACTAGTATGTGGTTGGGAAACTCTTGGTAGCTCCAAATCGCTCCCCATTTCATAGGGAATATGAATACCCATAGCTCCTTAGCTCCCTCCTAACCACTGGATAGTTAAACCACCATTTGTGTTGCTGCCGTCCAAGATGCTGAGTCTCTCCAAGAGCTGTCTGGGTTCTTCGCCAAAGCGTTTCTCCAGCGCCTGGCAAACGGTTTTCCGACGATCCGCGGTTTTCAAATCATCGCAGCACGGGGGATTGGATGATTTAACGGGGGATTACATATGGTATTCACCAACTCAAATAACTATATGACTATATCTAAATCGGATAAACTGGGATTAATCAACCCAAAAAACTATGTGACTTTATGTGACTATATCATGTATCTAAATCGGATTCAATGGGAGGAGCCATGGATGCCATGGAACTGGGAAGATCTTCGAACGGCTTCGAACGGCTTCGGACTGAAATGGATGGGAGCTACGGGGATTTTTCCAATGGGAAACTCATGGAATACTCATGAGATAAATATGATATGATATTAGTATTATAAATAGATTTAGTATTATACTCAAATTAGTATTATAAATACTCATTAGATATGGAATACTCATATTAGTATTAAAAATATTATGAGTATAGATAGATATAGATATTATCCTCTGGTAAACTAACATAACTATGGAAAACCACCATGCTATTAATGGGAAAACTCACTATTTCCATGGCCATTTTCAATAGCTACGTTAAATTACCAGAGGGTAGTAGGAAAAGTACCCAATCAACCAACAAGCGGGGGATTAATGGCTGGTTGGTGGGGGCTACCTACCCCTCTGAAAAAATATGAGTTCGTCAGTTGGGGTTACTATTCCCAATATATGGAAAAATGTTCCAAACCACCAACCAGATGGTAATTCCCACAAAAAATGGTTGTATATACCCAATTAATCCTTTATATCCCCAGTTATTACCCTCTGATAAACTAACATACATACCTATGGAAAATCATCATTTCTATTTTCTATGGTCATTCTCAAGTTCGCAAACTGTAAACGTTTACCAGAGAGTATAGCCCTAGTTAGATTCATGGAATATGCCCACTGATGGGATGAACCATGGATTGTATATCACCATGGAATATCCTCATTAATGTCAACTCCGGATTTTGCTAAACCATGGTTTATTAATTTGGGGGATACTCCTCCAATAGTCATTTCATCCAATACTTAAATGGTACCCCCCAATTAACCAGCCGTAAACGGGGTTTATTAATCCAGTGTTGCCATTATATGCGGAAAATCCCATGTGAATCCCGCAGCCATTTTCAATCTGCGCCTTCATGAGTGGCCGAACCTCTCCAGCCAGCGACTGATCTCTGATGTTGGCGGTCTCGGATGACGCCCGATGGGATTCGGCGGTAAAAAGTGGGCCACTTTATCTGGTTGGCGGTGCAATAACCATCTTGAAAAATATGAGTCAATGGGAAGGATGACATCCCATGTATGAAATGGAAAATAAAATTCATGTTCCAAACCACCAACCAGTGCCTAGACGGGATACATGGGCCAATCAGCCATGGACCAATTCTTAGCTGGTGAGTTGGTCGATAATCCCATTGATACCAAAAAAATAAAGGATCAAATTGATCAAATTCCCCATCTAAGATTGACCTTTTGTATAAGTTGGTAAGTCCAATAACCATGGTTTATGGTACTTATAACTATAGTTTATGGGGATTTTAAATGATGGGCTAATGATGGGGATTAATGGGATTACGAATTAGTAGGAATAAGTGATGGAATGTGCGGCAGTTTCCGCAGTGGTTAATCTGTAGATCCAAGCAAGTCCCGAACGGATCGACCAACGACCTTCGAATCCAAACAAAGCAACGTCGCCACAACCTCACCGTAGCTCGATTCCGACTGCGAGACCGCTGCGACCCGACCAGCATGCTCTTCAACACTTCCAGGCGTCTCCGTCCGGAAAATTCATATCCTTTGCAGCTCCAAAAATCTGTCCGGCCTCTGCTTCGCGTTCGTCCAAAAAATCTAACACGAGCGACAGATTCGGACAATCAGCGCACGTGGTGCCTTGACTACGTTCCAGCCAAAAAAAAAATTGGGGTCCCCAAAATAACACATATTCCCTAATCGATTCCCCAGTAACAGTGGATTTTCCATTGTGACAATAAAACATTGCCGACTAAGCAAGCCCAGGCAATGATGGGATTATGTGGCTAGTAAGCCACACATGGCCGGATGATGGGGATATTTTATGGTGCTTAAACCATGAAACATGATGATTGAAGCATGACACATGGCGGTTTAACCATTGAACATGGTGATTTCGCCGGATTTTATGGTGATTAGGGTGATTTAATCATGGCTGGTGTTTTTTTTTGGCGATTTGTAGTGACTGATGGCGAAATTAAATGCGATTTAAATGAGAATAATGTGGAATGGGTATTTTATGGTGATTAAGCAACTTTTAGCACTGACCATTTATGGTTAGAGTTTGATTACGGGAATACAGTAGGAATACCAGGCGAGTGTAACCCAGACACGTTTAACGGTGATTTAACTGTTTTTTTTATCGGGATCTAAGTGCATAAAATGTTTTTTTTGAACCGGATCTTCATGGACTGTCAATGAGACACCTGGTGATTTTTCACAAGGTGATGTCCCAAAGTTCTGTTTGTTGGTTTAAAAAAATACCTCTATAGCAACCCCCAAGAAGAAAGTAACACCTAATTAGTAACATAATAACAAATACTATTCTATCTTTTATTGGGTTGCTATGACTATAGATGTATCTACTAAAAAACCATAGTTAAGCTACTGCACTAGACCAAGCTAGCTAAGTAGGGGGCACTGTCAACATGAAAGCCTTGGCTTTACAAGCAACAAAAGTCAACAAAAATTAGATTTTATCTGGGTAAATTATAATAATTCACTAACCTGAATTAAGGCCATTTGGGGATGATTTCCCTTACTAACCATGATTCCAGTGAGGTCACAGTGAGGTTTATGGGATCTGAAGCATCAAAGGTTCCGGGGGTTCCCCTTCGATCTCCATGTTTCATGGTTTGCTGATCGTGTCCCTTCGCAGAAAATGACTGATCTTGGCAGTTCACCCTACTTGTGAAGTAGGTCATCTAGCAGGTTTTGTCAGTGGGGCAAGTAGGTTTTGCTTCAAAAGCCTGATTGGGAACTGGTTGAATTGATTTGTTTATAGATATTCCAATCATGGGTTGTAACGATCTTTTTCAGTCGGCTAGCAGAACCCCAATGTTAACATTGAACTATTTTTTAATTGCTCAATTGGGGTTATAATCTATATACTACATGAGCCACTAAGTCAATACCGCCACACTAATGGGTAACCAAAAGCAATAAAGGTATCTGGAGGAGGTATAATCAAGAAGCATTTGAATATCAATCAACACGTATGTGCCTAATCCATCCTAATCCTAGATACCAACCACAAAGGATCTGCATTTTTGCTATATGTCGTATGTCATACACAAATGAGCAGTGTTCAAATCCCAGAATTCGTCCCTTCTGCCTAGGAATTTCCATCATTTTTATTGTGATAAAATGTGATCATCTTCAAAATACACAGGGGTTGGTACTGTCCCAGTTTGGGAATATTGGACATCACCTTATAGCCATGGCATTGACCATATACCATTCATGGTTGGGTGATGTGAAAAATGGGGACATCAGTCATGACCCATGAAATCTTGGAGGATTATACCCACCTGGCCCACAATCAACCAGGAATTTCCAAGCAGCTTGCTGGCACATACCACGATATTTCCGTCGTCAATCACTTTGAACCACTTTGAACCAGTCTGGGTCAAAAGCCTGGTACCTAGTGAACTCTAAAATAACTGATAAATGGATGTTCATCCCACTAAAATTGTCAATAATAGGTTTTGACCCACACCTATATTGCTTATGTATCTCAATCCCCCAACAAAGGGGTGAACTTTCGCACTTCCTGGGATTGTTTTCCATTGTTTGAACCATTGTTTTCCGTTTTGATGCCATGAACATCTCCCATTTTTATCCAATCATTTCCCTATGATATGCGCATTTTTATCACATGCTTTCTGCATACATTCCACAGAGTTTCCCCAGTTTAAAGCCGCCGCCAACATCCGCCGTCAAGAAGCAGGGTCTTTCTGGCCGTACAAGATGTGGTCCTCGTATCCTGAGATCTGTCTATGTGTCGTAAATGAAACTAAGATGACCTATACCATGGTTGATGATTAGTTTGGGGATTATGATAATTGGGGATTATGATAATCCAATAAGAATGGGTTGACAACATTTTTATGGATTTGGTTTTTTGGTTGATTATACTACCCTAAAAATATATTGGGGATTATGATAATCCAATAGGATCCAATAGGGTAATCCCTATAAACCATCTAGATATCATGGCAAATCACTGATTCACTGATTCCAAAAAAAGTCAACTCAGGCATTAGAAACCCATCTAAATCACCGTTTTTGTTGGTTACCATCTGGTTATTTAACATAGCCATGGAAAGATCCGCAATTTTTAATAGGTGAGCCATCTATAGGGCCATCTATACCATGGCTATGTTAAATAACCAGAGGTTATATCATCTAGATATCATGGCAAATCTTGTGGTTATTGAACAATAGCAATGGAAAATCAGCATTCAGAATTGTAAATCAAAGTAAACCATCCAGAAATCTGGGCAAATTGTAATAATTCACTAACCTGAAACTTGCGGCCATTTTGGGATGATTCCCCCTATTATCCATGCTTCCAGTGAGGTCGCAGTGAGGTTGTTATAATTTGCCCCAATAATTACAATCAACACCATCATAATGAATGGATGAGATCATATCCACATATCTGGGTAACAAAGCAATATTTCACTCACCTGACATGTTTGTGCCAATCAGCCAGATACCCTGCAAAAAATGATAGATTCTTAGCTGGTTACTAAGTAGATAATCCCATGTCAAAAGACTATTTAGGATTAGCTTCCACCCATCCAAGATTATCCCATGAACATTACCCTTAAAATTGATGTTTTAACATGAATCTTTTCCCATGAACATCCAATTATCATTCAATTATCATGCATCAACATTCATTAGCATTACCAATACATTACCATTTCCTATGGTTTTCCTATGGGCATCCATCATTAATCTTATCCCATTAGCATCCACTACCCTCTGGTAATGACTAACAGTTTGCTATTGAAAATTTGGCCGATTGAAATTTCATTGATTTATCCATTAGTAGCATGGTAATTTTCCATAGTTTTTTGTAAACGTTTACCAGAGGGTAACATCGTTGTGCCACTAAGCAAGCAATGCTTCGCCGGGCTTAGCCACTTTAGTGTTTCTTAAAAAAACACTAAGACAGTAACATCTTCTTAAACTAGAAAAACTCAGTGTAATGTTTGGCCGATTGTTTTCACTTTAACACTTAAAGGTACCCTCTGGTAAACTAACATGACTATGTAAAATCACCACTTTAACAAGGAAGTCAACTATAAATGGGCCATTTTTAACTAAATGTAACTCTTCTTTCACCAGAATGGCTGACATAGGTGGCGTCTGAAATATCAATTAGTGGTACACCCAACAATCGACCCACCATTTGGGGATGGATGATTGGGTTTTGCCACACGATCCATCCATATCCCATTGTTTCGCAAAAAACAGTTGTACATATCATGCATATCCGTCACCAATCCATATCCATTTTATCCATTTTCATATTACCATAAACGCCAATTGATGACTTTGAGCTCAACATACCATATATTATGATTTATAGCTATAATTAACTATATCAACATACCATTAATTATAGCTATTAACTACATAGCTATTAACATATCAACCATCACTCCAAGACGTGACATAGCGTGAACTCGTCTGCTCGCAGAGCATCTGTAGTGATTTCCGTAAAGCAACTGCTTTGGGACGTCGATGGCATAGGTTCCTGGCGGGGCTGGTGCCTGGTGGGCTAGGGCGAAAAAAACAATAGGCTACAAAATATTCCAAATGTTCAAGTCGGATCATCATCTTGCCCATTGACATATAAAACCTTGATTTTTATAATATATATATGGTTGTTGATCAAAATTCTTTTATCCCGGAACGGCCATTCTTCGCGAATAAAAATTTTACTTTCGCGAAACTTTCGCAAACTCCATGTTTATCTTTCGCGGGGCCCATGTTGGCCAACAACACCTCTTATGAAGATTCGTTCACCACCTGCCAAATTACGCCAGAGAATCACGGATCACTTCTTGGTAGCCTTTTAAACATGCAGCTAGCATCACGGAATCCCTTCTCAGGACAGCTTTTTTTGCAAAGTTTACTGGCCCACCCCCTTCAACATGCACTTTGACTTTCGCCCGCTCTTTCGCATAACTTTCGCGGAACTTTCGCGAAATTATCCCTATTCACAGACCCCGGCCATCAGCAGGGGGGTGCAGTGAAGGAAAAGCGAAGACCAGGGGCCTTGGTGTTTGGCTCTCGCAAAGCCTCACTTTTGGAAACTTGGCTACTGCTACTCGCATTCTCTGGTGCCCTTCTCCTGCCGGACCCCGGGCGGCAGCGGGTTGGCAGCCCTTTACATATAATGATTATAATACCCAACTTTCGCGAAACTTTCGCCAAATAAAATTTTACTTTCGCGAACTCGAAAAAAAATTTCGCGAGGATTTCCAACATAACATGCACGGCTTTCGCAATTAAAACTCCTTACAAGGACCTTTAGATCGATCACCATATATGACATATGTATAGAATGTGTATATATATATATATGTCAAATATCACATATTGTACATGTATATGTATACGGTAACTACATTTAAATATACGGACTTTTAAATATACGAACAGGTATTTTACACTACCTCCGGGAAAGTTTTCCTTGGCCCGCCCGGTCATTTAAACATACGGAATCCAAGTCATTTAAACATACGGCAACTACATTTAAATATACGAACTGGTATTTCATACTACCTCCGGGGCCTCGCGGTCTGGCCCGCCCTCCACATATTTAAATGTCGTTACCGTATATATATATATAAACATATATGCACAGTGTATGTATATATATATATATATAGATTGTACATACTTGAAACATACCACCATTTCGGAACAAAACCAGAGATTTATCTGGGGATGGGGAACATCACCCTGTACCAACATCAGAACAGCTGGGATTTATGGATGTTCATCACCCAAAAAATGGAAAAATGGTATTTGTAGGTATTACAGATATTGATCCATAGACACAAAGTGGGATCTGGTTGGGTTTTCTGAAAGCCATCCCACAACTGTATTCTTGACTTGGATATAGAGAGAAGGGTACCATCAACACTCCTTCAGTAGGGTTTCCCCAGTTTGCACACTTCACAGATATAAAGTTCATCGTCAACCTCCAATGAAACTAACTTAGGCAGGGATGTGCAAAGCAACCAAGAATCTGCCCCCCCATTTTCCCCCACAAACACACTTGCTCAAACAACGACTTGCGTGTGCAGTTCCGCTAAATCAGTGGCTAGATAACCATAACTATGGGCGTTACCCTCTGGTAAATTAACAGTTCGACCCTGGCAGTCATCGGGGTTGGAAGACTAGTGAAACCACTATTCCATTAAAAATGGGTGATACCCTCTGGTAATTTAACGTAGCTATTGAAAATGGCCATTTATAGTGAGTTTTCCCATTAAAAATGGTGATTTTCCATAGTTATGTTAATTTACCAGGGGGTATATCCCAATTTATGAGTCAAACTCGCCATCCCAGCATGGCAAAACATCGTCGCCACTGGGATGGTCTTCACAGCTGGTGCCCGTTGTGATGTGTTCTCGTTGCTAGCAAACATCAGGTATAGTATGGCTATAGTATGGATATATCATACCATAACCCCAGTTATATAATATCTACCATAACCCCTAGTCATATATAGTGATATTACTTTTGAAGTAACTTAGCGAACTCAAACACCACCGGTAGCAGTTTCGTACTCTCGGTAGCCCCTTGGCTCCTTCGTTCCAGTTGGTTGGAAAATGAATCCAAAGGCCATGCACGTTGTGCCTCGACTTCCACCGAAGAGTTTGCGAAGTGGAAGTGCGAACTGGAAAATGGTCAACTTTAGTTCGATGAGTTACCGATATTTACCTATAAAACTGGTAATTTTCAAAGGATTCCTGATAAATTTCATGGCCAGCCAGCCTGCAAAAAAATATAAGGCAGATTCTTAGCTGGTGAGTTGGTAGATAATTTATTAAAAAGACTCTTAGCTGGATGAGTTAAACTACCTATCTAATCTTGTTCCATTCACATGACCATATCCCATTCACATCCCATTTCCTATGGTTTTTTTTCGGGTTTTCCGATGGTTAAACGACCTATCCTTTCAGATTGCCCTGTCCGAAAACTCGTTGCCGTGGTTGCCCGCGATCTACCGCTGGTTACGATGCAGGGGATTCACCGCTTATCTGGTTGGTGGTTGAGCCCTACCCTCTGGTAAACATACAAAAAGCTATTGAACATGGCCATAGAAAAAGGTTAGTTTTCTCATTAAAAAAAAAGGGTGATTTTTCCATAGTGGTATACCTACCCCCTCTGAAAAACCATGGAGTGAAAGTCAGTTGGGATGATGATTCCCAACTGAGTGGAAAACATCATGTTCCAAACCACCAATCAGTTATCATAATTCATGGCTAATCAGCCAGATACCCCGCAAAAAAATAAATTCTTGGTGAACGTAGGTAATCCCATACCGAAACACTATTTTGGATTAGTTTCTACCCATCCAAGGTTGACCTAGTCACCCCATCATTAAACCATCATTGAACCACCATTAAACCAACATTTCACCATCCTTTCCCAATTCTTTTCCCAGTTTACCCATAATTATTCTTCGTATCTTGGGGGGATTATCCTCTGGGAATACCTACCAGGGACTTGGGGTATGCGAGGCATGTTCCGATTATCGATTTGGGGGTTTCCTGAAATGGGGAATACCCCGAAATGGTTGGTTTATTTCATGGACAATCTTACTAAAATGGATGACTTGGGGGTACCCCTATTTTGGGAAATCACCATTTATTTAGAGACACCATGAGTAAAAAACGCACGCAGAAAGAAATGGCTAGTTCACCATGAGTAAATGATTAAGAATACTGCAAGAATGGGAATTTTGGGATATGATGAGATGATCATAATAAACATGGAAATAGAACATCTGGTTGGTGGTGCGATAACCATCTTGAAAAATGATGGAGTTCGTCAATGGGAAGGATGACATCCCATATATGAAATGGAAAATCATCCAGCCATGTTTGAAACCACCATTTCTAGCCATTGTTCTTACTTGGTGGTTCATTCCAATTAGTAAGTAGCTTACAATCTTACAATGGTCTGGGTAAATTATAATATTTCACTCACCTGAATTAAGGCCATTTGGGGATAATTTCCCTTACTAACCATGATTTCCAGTGAGGTCGCAGTGAGGTCGTTATATATAATTTACCCAGAAGGGTATTTGTTTAGTCCACTTGTGGCTGGGCTTAAAACCTACATGTGGAAAACTCCCTCGTTTCATGGCGTGCAAGTTTCATGGGGGAAGTAGACTAATGATCCATGAAATTTTTAGGGCGTGTTGCGCATGTTCAAACACATTGACACCCTAATATCTAATGTTATAGATTAATATTGGATTGATATTGGATTAATATTGGATGCATGGGATATATCACCATCAAATAAAGGATGTTTGTATAACCATGGCCAATCAGCCAGAGGGCCCCTACAAAAAATGACAGATTCTTAGCTGGTGAGCTGGTAGATAATCCCATTGATACCAAAAAAATAAAGGATCAAATTACCCATCTAAGATTGACCTAGTATAAGTTGGTAAGTCCAATAACCATGGTTTATGGTACTTATAACTATAGTGACTAAAGTGACTAAAGGACAAAAAGTAACCATCCAAGATTGCCCTAGTAATGTTAACCTTCACAACCATCCGTTCGTATCCCGTATTGTCCAGTATTTTCCACTCAACCAGCTTCATCAACGAGGCTTTGCACCTAACGCTGGACACGCCAAAAAAAAGGCCAAGGCACACATTGACGACGAATTTCGACCTGCCCTCATTGTTCTTGTTGTTCTTTTCTTCTCCTGGGGCGAAATGGCGCCAATCTGAACGGCAAAAAAACGTTGGCGAACAGTTTTTTCTGGTGAAAACCACCCATTTACCCATCTAGGGATTAAAGTGATGTGAAGTAGCCATGCAAGATTTGACCAACAAAAGCTCTGGGAAAGTGAAACCTGAGATATCTCCACAACCACCATCCATGGCTAACCTGAGAGAACTGACCAAAAATAATGTGATCATATGTGATTGAGAATGGCGGGATATGACATTCTTAAAAAGAATTGCCAAAAGAATTTTTCCTGAGCAAATTCAGCCCATTAATCAGAAGATTCACCAGTCTGTTTAAACACCACCATTAAATCCCATTAAATCCCATTAAACCATCATTAAATCCCATTAAACCATAATTAATGATGGTTTAATGATGGTTTAATTCATGAATCCAAAATCGTGGTTTTTGAAAAAATGCCATGGGATCTTCCACTGCCATACGGATTTTTGGGTCGCTGGCAAAATTCTTGGCTGATGATATTTGTTTGCGATGGAGAGATTTTTCTCGTAGTTTCAGCCTATTCAGGATTAGCATACATACATAATTAGATGATACCATGGCCAATCTTAGATACCCTGATTCGAACATTCTTGGCTGGTTAGTAAGTATATAATCCTATACCAAAAGACTGTTCATCTAAGATTGACCTAGTCACCCCATCATTAAACCATCATTAAATCACCACTATATCACCATTAAATCCCATTAAACCATCATTAAACCACCATTAAATCCGATTAAACCATCATTAAACCATCATTAAACCATCATTAAACCAGCACTAAATCACCGTTTCACCATCTCCCAGAACTAACCCACAAAATGAGCATCGAAACATCGAGGAAATTTCCACGAGATTGCGAGGAGAACGGGAGAAGCGGTACAACTCGAAGTTCAGGGAATACACTTCCTGAGTGAAGCCAGTGATACTGGTATTTGGGATTTTAATGGGATTTTAATGGGATTTCCATGGTTAATAATGGTTAATAATGGTTTGATACGTCCAGTGAAATCATGTTAACCTGGGTGAGTTGGTTGCTGGTTGCTGGTGCAATGGACTTCGTCAATGGGATTGGGATGACATCCCATATATGAAATGGAAAAAAAAAGCCATGTTCCAAACCACCAATCTTTGTATAATCTTAAAATATACAAAATGTTCCAAACCACCAATCTTTGTATAATCTTTTAGTGGGTCCAGCAAAAATTGTCATTGTTTCTGGTTATTTTCCATTTATATCCATTCATCAGGGTAAGTTACCCTCTGGTTATTTAACATAGCCGTGGTATAGATGGCCCATTTCTAGATGGTTTACCGTTCTTAAAAATGGTGATGTTCCATGGCTATGTTAAATAAGCAGATGGTATATAATATTTCACCCCCTGAAACTTTTAAGGCGCTGGGGATGATTCCTCTTACACTATATTTTTCCAGGCATCGCAGTGAGGGCATTATCAAATTTACTCAGATGTCGTCATCCGCGATGACGAAAAATACCGAGGTAAAGCCTGGAAACATGAGATAAACATCATCGAGCTACCATCCTGGAAACACCTTTCGGCATTTTTCTGGGTATTATTTGTTCAAGTCATATTTCATTGACCACTCCGTGCAAGTTCGAATACAGGTCCTTACTTGAAGTATCGCCCTAAAGATTGCAAGTGGTTAGTATCTGGCGTATTACAGATAGAGTAGAAAGTGCGTCTGAGTGTTTGCATACTCCATCACATGAATATGCAAGTAGAAGCGTACCAGAGTGAAATGTGAGTATAGTGAATATATGTGGATGTTTCCTAAAATAGGGATACCCCCAAATCATCCATTTTAGATTGGGATTTTCCATTATAAACCATCCAGCTATTGGGGTACCCTATGGAAAGCCCCATATAAATGTCCACCTAAACTTGAGCCTTGAGCCATGTCCATTTTTTAGTCTTCTCCTCTGACCCAGGGTAAGACTCCGAAGAGTTTGTTGAATTCATCCCACTAATGACGTTATCCCCCTGTTCCTGTAGTTTATATTTGTTACGGTTAGAAATCAATCCCAATGCCGACTTAAAACCCCATCAAACAAACATTTAAGGTGGCAACTGATCCTACAATAAAATGCCCTATTTGCGATGTTTTGGTACCCCATCCAACTAAAAACTCCTCACCTAATGTAAGTCTGAAAATGGGGAGAAACTCCAAATGGCCATTGAAATGGGAAGAATGAGACCAAAATCCATTGGAATTCGGTATACCAAATTTTTCAGACAAACCCGCTGTTGCACACATTTCATCCCACTGGGGATGATGGTTTCCGGGGTGAATCACTGAAGTTGGGCGAAGAAGACCATGGACGGAAAAAGAAATACATTGGTAGGGACCCATCATAAATAGGTTCCTCGCCTTTCGCTGGTGATTTACTCTAGGGGGTGCAGGTGGGTTATTTTTATGGATATAACCATGACTATGGGTATAACCTTCCATAAGTTGGGATATGTTGGGATACAAGCAGTATAACTATGGATATAATATCCATTTATACCCTCTGGTAAACTAACATAGCTATTGAAAATGGTCATTTATAGTTGATTTACCCAGAAAATATGGTGAGTTTCCATAGTTTTGTATGTTTACCAGAGGGTAACTGGAACTGCACTTCCTACCTGAAACAAGGCTGCAAGGAGATTGAGACACGCTTGCGCGTTTTTATTTCTAGGGATTGGACAGAAGCCGATCTGTATCCAGCTCACGGCAAAATAGTTGTGAGTAACCACCTGGTTGGTGGTATACCTACCCCTCTGAAAAATATGAGTTCGTCAGTTGGGATGATTATTCCCAATATATGGAAAAACATGTTCCAAACCACCAACCAGCTATGATTAACCAATGATTCATTCCAAAAATAAGAAGAACCACAGGTTGGAGCCTCTGGTAATCATTCTACAAACGATTTTCCCAGTTTCCTAAACATGATCCATGCATAGAGATTTCCCAGCCAGCCAAGTGTCGCTTCGATTTGCCTGGAAATGGTCCTCAGTGCGTGATGCCGTGATGCGGGTGTTTTTTGCGCAAAGCCAATGCCACGAATACCTCGAATTTTAAGGATGGTATTGCCCTCTGGCAAACTAACATAGCTATTGAAAATGGCCATTTATAGTGGATTTTCCCATTAAAAATGGTGATTTTCCATAGTTATGTTAAATTACCAGAGGGTAATACAAACCATTTCTACTCGTATTGGGGAAGTGGCAACGCAATATTGTTAAAACAAAACTCAGTTACGTTGAAGACTAGTAACACATGATGCACTGGTAAGATAAGATCCAATGTAGATCTTGTTCTTTCGTATGATGTTTCTTGACCTAGCAATTTCAATCGCAACTTTTTGCGTATCACATGGAGCTGCGATATCCTACATGGAATTGCTACCACTAGCCCTGGGTAATCAAACATAGTTTGCTGGTTTCCGTCTACATCATCCCGTGCCAGGATGGTTATGGATTCATCACCATAAATCCAAACAGTATGGAACATGGCCAGCTATAGTTCGTTGATTTACCGAACTGAAACATGGTGATTTTCCACTGGTAAATATAGTAAATATAGATATCTCGTAAAATGTAAAAATAGATATCTCAAACATAAATCCAACATTAACATAGCCATGGTATAGATGGCCCATAGAAATAGATGGTTTACCTATTAGAAATGGTAATTTTCCATGGCGATCTGTTAAATAACCAGATGGTATACACCAAATTGACTATTCCGAACTGGGGCGCGGCGCGCCTTAAAGCATGGCGAAAATCTATGGAAGTTGGAATCCCAAATCCAGCATTTCTTTGTAAACTTAAAAACAAATCAGCAACAATTGGCGAATTTAAAGGTTGAACCCACACTGTCAGAAGTGATACCCTCTGGTAAATATACAAAAAACTATGGAAAACCACCATTTTTCAATGGGTAAATCAACGAACTACAATGGTATTTTGACATAACCAGGTTGGGTAAACAAATCACCAAGCATTGGAGAGTTTTTTCATGGGTTTCACCAGCACATGCCGTGAAAATCCAGGGGATTTTAGGAGATAATCTCACGTATTCGTATTCTTCCACATCGAAACGCCAACCTGTTGACAAATAACCCGGTTGGTTGATATTGCTGAATATCCCTGGCAAATATCTTTACATACACACCATGTATATATATATATAGACACGCACAAATCATATATGTATATGCACATGTTCTTGTGGCTATCTTCCCCATGAGCTATCCCCAGTTCATCTTAAACATCCCATCCAGAAACCCATGGGTTTTATGTTGACGATGAATGGGGGATGGGATTGAGATGGTTTATATCGATATGTCTCATGTTTATATCATAACATTTACCCAATTATTCCAACTGTTGGGAAAACGACAAGGTGGTAACCCCCTAGTGATGTGAACGTTGGTTTATAAAGGATAGTAGGTATACATAAAATATTATATATATACTGTATACCATATATCTAGCATAAACCATAGTGAAATTGGAGTTATAAGTTGATTTATAATCTCCATTAACTATAGATATAACCCCCATTCATCAACCCTAGACAACCAACTTAGCGAACTGGGGCACCTTGCATTGATGAACCATTTCACATTATGATAGATGTTAACATATCAACATGCATGGCCATGGCTCTACTTGGATGTGCCACGATCCGTGTTTTCTAATCCATATATAACCCATTTCATATAATTTAATCTACAAGGTGGTGCCCCAGTTCGTTCGCTAAGTTGGTGCAAATAACTCCAATAACTATGGTTTATATTAGATATATCTTAGAAAATCACCATTTTTAATAGGTAAATCAACGAACTAAATGCCAATTTTTCCATAGCTATGTTATATTACCAGGGGTAATCTATAGGACCCCGCGCCCCGGCGCCAAGGGTCTATGACGGCGTCCCAAGCTGTGTTCAAATAGTCCTTGGGCGTGTCCTGACCTGGCCGGGAGATGGGGAGAATGTGGTGAGAAACTATGGAGATAATATTACCCATAGACCCTCTGGTAATTTAACATAGCTATTGAAAATGGCCATTTATAGTGGATTTACCCATTGAAAATGGTGATTTTCTATAGTTATGTTAGTTTGCCCTCTGGTAAATTAACATAGACCCTGAAAATAAGCAATTTTTAGTGGAAACCAGTCTTCCAACCCCGATGACTGCCAGGGTCGAACTGTTAATTTACCGCAGGGTAATATACACATATATATATATATGTCAAATATCATAGATATTATGGATAATATATATATATATATTAGGATGTTGCTCTTATCCATTACTGCTCCCTTAACTTTCCATTACTGCTCCCTTAACTTTCCATTACTGCTCCCTTAATTTTCCATTACTGCTCCCTTAACTGTCCATTACTGCTCACTTAACTGCTCCCTTAAATTTCCATTACTGCTCCCTTAACTTTCCATTACTGCTCCCTAAATTTTCCTTAACTTTCCTGCTCCCTTAACTTTCCATTACTGCTCCCTTAAATTTTCCATAACTGCTACCTTAACTTTCCGTGACTGCTCCCTAACTTTCCATTACTGCCCCCTTAAATTTCCATTACTGCTCCCTTAATTTCCATTACTGCTCCCTTAATTTCCATTACTGCTCCCTTAACTGTCCCTTAACTTTCCATTACTGCTCCCTTAACTTTCCATTACTTTCCCTTAACTTTCCATTACTGCTCCCTTAATTTTCCATTACTCCCTTAACTTTCCATTACTGCTCCCTTAACTTTCCATTACTGCTCCCTTAACTTTCCATTACTGCTCCCTTAAATTTTCCATTACTGTTCCCTTAACTTTTTCCATTACTGCTCCCTTAACTGGGGGGAGTTAAGGGAGCAGTAATGGGCCCCCTGGAGGGGTCCAAAACCTCCATCACTGCTCCCTTAACTGGGGGAGTTAAGGGAGCAGCGAGTTAAGGGAGCAGTAATGGTTTTTACAACCTAATTCGCACTACTGCTCCTTTAACTTTTTCAATTACTGCTCCCTTAACTGGGGGGAGTTAAGGGAGCAGTAATGGGCCCCCTGGAGGGGTCCAAAACCTCCATCACTGCTCCCTTAACTGGGGGAGTTAAGGGAGCAGCGAGTTAAGGGAGCAGTAATGGTTTTTACAACCTAATTCGCATTACTGCTCCTTTAACTTTTTCAATTACTGCTCCCTTAACTGGGGGGAGTTAAGGGAGCAGTAATGGGGCCCCTGGGGGCCAATTTGGAGGCCAATTTGGAGGCCAATTTGGAGGCCAATTTGGGGACTCGAAATCATTTCACCAAATTCTGCATAGCATTTTGGCTTTGGTAGGTTACGGTCCCAGACTTTGCCCTTGACTTGATGGAGAAAGTTAAGGGAGCAGTAATGCAGAAAATGGAGAAAGTTAAGGGAGCAGTAATGCAGAAAATGGCGAAAGTTAAGGGAGCAGTAATGCAGAACATGGAGAAAGTTAAGGGAGCAGTAATGCAGAAAATGGCGAAAGTTAAGGGAGCAGTAATGCAGAAAATGGAGAAAGTTAAGGGAGCAGTAATGCAGTTAAGGGAGCAATGCAGAAAATGGAAAGTTAAGGGAGCAGTAATGCAGAAAATGGAGAAAGTTAAGGGAGCAGTAATGCAGAAAATGGAGAAAGTTAAGGGAGCAGTAATGCAGAAAATGGAGAAAGTTAAGGGAGCAGTAATGCAGAAAATGGAGAAAGTTAAGGGAGCAGTAATGCAGAAAATGGAGAAAGTTAAGGGAGCAGTAATGCAGAAAATAAGTTAAGGGAGCAGAAAATGGAGAAAGTTAAGGGAGCAGTAATGCAGAAAATGGAGAAAGTTAAGGGAGCAGTAATGCAGAAAATGGAGAAAGTTAAGGGAGCAGTAATGCAGAAAATGGAGAAAGTTAAGGGAGCAGTAATGCAGAAAATGGAGAAAGTTAAGGGAGCAGTAATGCAGAAAATGGAGAAAGTTAAGGGAGCAGTAATGCAGAAAATGGAGAAAGTTAAGGGAGCAGTAATGCAGAAAATGGAGAAAGTTAAGGGAGCAGTAATGCAGAAAATGGAGAAAGTTAAGGGAGCAGTAATGCAGAAAATGGAGAAAGTTAAGGGAGCAGTAATGCAGAAAATGGAGAAAGTTAAGGGAGCAGTAATGCAGAAAATGGAGAAAGTTAAGGGAGCAGTAATGCAGAAAATGGAGAAAGTTAAGGGAGCTAAAGAGACCCCTCAAAAACGTGCTAGAGCGACATGCTAATATATATATATATAGTTATAACTAACATGTTGGGATAACATGAAAATATTGTGGATAATATACATGGATAAAAATTAAGGATTATATATATATGTAGTGGGCATATCATAGATGACTTGAAGAGTACCAGGGTATCGGCAGAATATAGATATATAACATTACCCGTCTTTTTTTTTCAACTTGGGAAGTCTTTCGTCCCGCTGGGATTTCAAAAGAAACCAGTAAAGCTTGGTACAATGGTGAGGTCCCCAGTTAGCTAGAGATATACACCCCATAAACCATAATCGTTAACTAAGTATTATAAGTCAACTTAGCTATCATCCATCAACTACAAATCCATTTAAATCTCTGTGTTTGATTAAGTCAATATGTTTTCCTATATTTTCCTGAATTTCCTTATCATTTGGCCGCCTTTGTTTGTGTTCTGGGACCAACGTTTACAGCTCGTTAGTTGGCAGGGTCAGGTTGGATGGGTCAGACGAGCTGCTGCCCATCATCCTTAAACTGGTTGGTGGTTGACCTACCCCTCTGAAAAATATTAGTCAAATGGGATTGATTATTCCCAATATATGGAAATTCATAAAAGCCATGTTCCAAACCACCAAGCAGTAAATATCTTAAATCAAATTTACCACTTTGATGGGTGGCAAAAAAACCATCCAAATGTGGCTGGTGAATTATTGTTTTACTTCCATTTCCCATCCAACCTTAGAGGGTAACCTCAAATTTCATGTGAACCAACTGCTCAACTACCTGAGACAAAGTAGCCCCTGGTAAACTAGCACTTTGCTATTGAAAATGGCCGTTTAGGGTTGATTTACCCATTGAAAATGGTGATTTTCCATTGTTAATTTACTAGAGGGTATCACTTCTGAAAGTGTAGGTTCAACCTCTGAATTCGCCAATCGCAGCTGGCTCTTCTCCCATCAAACCAACCCGGGGATTGAGGGCGGGGTTCATCCCCAAGCCCCTATAGTTCACCATGGTAACTTGCGCTATTTTTTCCCAACCATGGAGGTTTATAACCATGAACATATCCATACAAGTAACCTCACCTGCATTCCCCCAAGTATAGTGATTAGTCAACAGATAGGGGTTTCTTAAAATGGGGGATCCCTAAAACCATGGGTTTCAATACTAAAAGGGTCTGATTTTGGATGATTTGGGGTACCCCCATTTTAGGAACCCCCCAGATGTAGAGCTTTTGGTCTCCCACTGCCTTTGAAGACTGTGGGATCCACATGCAGGTACTCGTCTGTATCGATGGTCGGCATGAGCCAGGTGGCCCGATTCTTCGCGCGAAATAAACCTCGCGAGCGCAGCTACGCGCCAGAAATGGCTATCTGGATACTTCGATATTTCATATCAATGTAACAATCATCTGGGATATACATTGATACACGATATTTATGGTTGTTTCTGGATATGCCAATGATCTGGATGTGGGAATAGAAGAACCATAATTGGTATATCAATGTCAATGGGAGATTCTCTCCTAAACTTCCTAAAACACTAAGAATGGCGCGACGCGGGAAATGGGAGATGTCCTGGAGATTTTCACCCATGCTGTTTCATGCTGATTCATGGTGCATGGTGCATGGAATGAGAATCCTTATGGATATATACTGGTTGGTGGTATACCTACCCCTTTGAAAAATATGAGTTCGTCAGTTGGGATGATGATATTCCCAATATATGGAAAGTCATAAAAGCCATGTTCCCAACCACCTATCTCAACGAGAGATCACCGGGCTTGTTCAGATCCCAGGTGCTGGAAAATCATCGAACTTGCTGGAGGATTGAAAAAAAAAACCAGCCACGTTTGATGACCGGAGTGTAATGCCTCAAACATCAAATTGCTATCATCTATTGGGCTCGTGCTTCAACAAGTTGCAAAGTATTCTTGGTATAAGGAAGCTGGCCATATAGGTGTAACAGGTTTCATAAACTTCATTTGTCTCTTTTACCTGGCATTTTTGGATGCTCAGTAACATAGACATTGTCAGCAGGACTGCTTTTTTTCATTTCCTCCAAACCACACCGTTTCTTGACCCCTTCCAAGAAAGGAACTCTATCGGAATCCCTTGATGAAGGTAAGCCGCCAAGCTTATCATCATTTTCCCTCTGAAAATGCACTTGGGGGGTAGAGCCTATTTTCCGACCCACCTTGGATACCCGACATTTTTTGGTGAGGTAGGAGTCTTGTCCAATTTCACCCATGATAAATCGATAAATTGAAGCAATTCACTTACCTGACATGTTTGGCTGTTTTGAGATAGTGAATTGTTAATGAGCACCAGTTAGTTATCCATATCAACAACTATACAGTAAAAAAAAAAAACTAAGTTTGGATATTTTCAGATAGTTGTCCTTGTTATCCATGTTACCAGCTCTCTTCAATCCAGAAATCCGCCGCGATGTCATCTGTCGCAACATAATCTATCCAAATATGTATATATATATATATATATTCTCCTGATTAAATGCCCATTCATATGCCGTTGATATCCCATTACATCCAGTTATATCACCATCATATTCCCTGTTTAAACACCATTAAAAAAAGTGGATTCGCCCCCATCAAAAGCACCATTTTATTGTGCTTAAACCAGCAATTATAATTCTTTGTTCATGGTTAACTCACCATTCACATGTTTTTTTCATAGTCCACAAAAAAGATGTCAACTTTTGCTGGGTATGGTTAGCTTTTTAAGAGTTATAGCCAAGTAAAGGATGAAACTAACATCTAACATTGGATTATAATGGTTAATAATGGTGAATAGTGGTTATATAGTGATTATCATGGGATTAATAATGGATTATAATGGTTAACTAACCATCCCAGTTGATGTTGGTTGGGGATGTTTTTGGCGTCCTGGCGTCTGTCGTAAGCGCCAAGGAGCAGTCGGTCATGAGCCGATGGTGTCGCACATGTCTTTCAGGATACCTCCGCTGAAAGGTCGGAGGCTTTTTTGTTAACCAACAAACCTGGCCAAGAAATGATGATTTCATCGGAATTATAGCTGATTTATGATAGCTAAGTTGACTTATCACTAGGTGAATTCTATGGTTTATGGGGGATATATCGAACTAGTTCATGTGGTTTATAAACCAACAAACATCACTGGGGGGCACCACTTCATGGGAAATTGAAACAAATGGGGAGCTCTGCAGAAGAGAATAGCACCCCAAAGGAGCTGGGATTTGTGGATGTTCATCATTGCAAGGTGGTGCCCCAGTTCGGAATCGCCAGGTTGGTGCAAATAAGTCCAATTAATCTGTTGGGTTGATGAATGGGGGTTCTATCGAACTAGTATTCATGGGGTTTACAAACCAACGTTCACATCACTGGGCAACGTTCACGTCACTCGGGGGGGGCACCACCTGGTATAAATCCCTCTTGCTGGTTCATGACCAGGTCGCCCGTATGGTAAAATGATCCATGTTTTGACCGTGGCACTTTTTGCAGAATCTGTTCGAACAGTGAGGCAATACATCCTGGTTGGTGGTATACCTACCCCTCCGGAAAATACGAAAGTCAGTTGGGATGATTTATGCGAATATATGAACAGAACATGTTCCAAACCACCAACCAGCATCCACATCAGTGATGCAAAACTGGACAAAATCTGCCGTGCCGAACTCAGCACTGGTAAGTATAGTACTGGAAAGTTAGTTATACTACCCTCCGGCAATCATAAACTAACATTGAGTAAATACTGCTATAAATACTCATAACTAGTAAACACCATAGTAGTTACCATATAGTTAAGACACTCTAGTACTTTAACAGTACGTGGTAGGATTGATCAAGACCCTCGGGCAATCAGCCACATAGCAATGGTGAACTCCAAATAAAGGTCACATAGATGCGGGCAATTACCATTTTAATAGGCAATCCATAAATGGGGCCATGTTCATCTATGTTAGTTTACCCTAATTGCATGAAACATGGTGATGTAATGGAGATCTAATGGTGCTTTGATGACTCAATGGTTTATTCATAGGAACATCATGCAAGGTGGGGCCCCTAGCTATAAGTTGGTTTATAACCCCATTAACTAGTTCGTTATGTCTACCATATACCACAACATACCATAGTTATTGGAGTTATAAACACACCAACTTAGCTATCCAACCGGGGGCCCCACATTCTGGGATATTGATGGGAAATTGTCATATTTCACTACCGTGAAAAGGGGTGATTCTCCCATGCCACTCGTTCATCTCCTGGGCGAATGTCTCCATCATCTGCATTTGTCGGCGGAGTGCACGTCGGCCGTGGCTGCCGCCGTGTGCCCTCACGCTGCTGCCTGTTGTCAACGACTTGGCTTCGTGCCTGTTCGCCCACTTCGGCTTTGGCGGAGGCCCTGGGTCCAGCATTTCCCCGCCGGCACGGGGCGGAGGGGGCGGCGGCTTAGCAGCCGCAGGAGGTTTACCACCCGGCGGAGGTGGGGGTTTGGCAGTGGCACTTAGGCCTATTACTGCTGAAGGTGGTATAGTCACGACGTAAGGTCACTAGAACTTGCCCAGATGGACTCATAGGATATGCTCTGGGTATGATTTTTGCATATGGAGGTTTCCTGAAATAGGGATACCCCTAGTTCTCATCCATTCTTTGGGATTTTCCATGAAATCAACCCTCCATCCATTTAGGGGTACTCCCATGACCATGGGAAACCAATAGATTTCCCAGTTTCGTTTGATACCAAACATGGTCACTGCAGTTTCCGGGACGACCCTGCCATGTGTTGTGATGTGCTTGGAAACCACTCAGAATTTGGGTGATTTTCGGGGTGGAACTCTTCATTTAGAGAGTAACTGTTGAGTTTTACCCTCTGGTAAACATACAAAAAACTGATGGGAAAATCACCATTTTTAATAGGAAAACTCACTATAAATGGCCATTTTCAATAGCTATGTGACAGTTTACCAGAGGGTATCCGCTATAACCCCAACAGTTCACCAAAGAATTGAGGCGCCAACCCTTGCGATTTCGTCAACGGGGGTCCTCACCGCCAGATCGCCCCTATGCCGCCAAGCTGCTGATTGAAATGAATCCGTGTCGCCAGTCCACTGTTGATATACCTCGCTGCAAAGTGTGCTGCAGCTCTTGTCAGCAATAGTCCTAAGCTTAACGTGATACAAGTGGGTAAACTGGAATGATGAAGGGGAAAGTATCCCAAAATAGCCCAACATTTCAGATGTGTGAATTGTTACAATTGACCCAGAACGATATTGTTCTGACCATTTGATGGGATTTAAACAGCCAAAAATGAGCCAGAGTCTAAAATTACCCTTGGTTTCCGGCCGTTGGAAAGACAGGTGTTTACCAAATGTCGGGAAAAATAGACAGTGAGGAGTTGGTGGTTCCCCCCTTGAGATGGTGACAACTGGTGGTAACTGTTTCCCGTAACGCCTCTGTTGTTGGGAGAGTGCACTGGGCACCTGCGTAGCCGTTCCCTAGCCTGTGCTCGCCAGCAGACCGCTCACTGCGTTCGTGCTCTTGCTCAAGACAGTAGTCGCTGATCCATGCCAGGTACACAGTCCACAGCGGCGGAATGTACGCGTACTCTCGAAGCGGGAACCACCTGTACAGTCTGTCAGGTTCGGCATGCCTGGCTGGCCGGTTGCCTCCTTTGAGACAGGCCCATTTGGAATGACTCCTGCACGCCTGGGGCGAAGAACCTGAAGAAGTGGCAGTAGCATGTCTCGTACTCACCTTCTCTCGCTGACGAATACACGGTGACTGCCATGTACCACGCGATGTAGAGCAGGCGGTACGGATACCCTTGCAGCCCTTCAAAGCGGCCTCCTGCACATTCAATGTGCACTCCAGGGGTGCGGCCATAATTGCTGTGCTCTCAGCGAGGCTATGGAAAATGATCCATTTACGGTTGATTTACCTAAATTCACATATCAAAAAACATAATAACCAGAGGGTAATGGGTTTGTCTGAAAACAGGGTAACCCCAAAATCGTAATATCAACAATCAAAATTTCTGATAGACATGACAATTGAAATGAGTATCATCCATTTTCACCCAAATATCATATCAAGTTGCTTATATGCCCCATCAATATTCCATCCATATCCAAACTCATATCCCCATTATTGTTGGTTTTATACCACCATTGTTGTTTCTTAATCCCATGTTCCCATTGTTGACAGTGAACATCCATAGAATTTCCATATTTGTTGGTTTGTGAGATATCAACATATCCCAATATTGTGGGATATATTCCGATTATATCATTAGTGGGGTAGACCCCCCAAATGGAAAATCTCAAGTGGGAACATGATGATTACCCAATGGATTGAGGGTATACTATTTTCAGACAAACCCAAATCAACACATCAAGTTGCTGTATCTGTTTCATATTCAGGCCATGTGCTAGTTCATATGCATGTGTACATATTATTGTCTCACTGTATTTGAACCAGTTGAAAGTATCCGTTAATACCACTGAGTCAATATCCATTTGTCCTACCATATTAACAAAGTATGCATTAATATGCATAAAACCATTTACCATTATTTTCCACACAGCAGAAAATGGAAACTACCATAGAACCATATTGACACATCACATGGCCAACCAGCCAGATACGTTGCAAAATATGACAAGTTCTTGGCTGGTGAGCGTAGATAATCCCATACCAAAAGACTATTTTGGATTAGTTAAACTACCCATCTAATCTTATCACATTAACATCCCATTCACATTCATTGACATCCCATTCACATTACCAAACAATTACCATTTCCTATGGGTTTCCGGATGGTTTTCCTATGAGGATCCATCTTTTTTACCCAAGGAACGGAGTCATCACTGCCTCCTGGGCGATGGGGAAATCATGGAGACCATGGGGAAATCGCCAGTTGTTTTTTTTACGATGGGATTCGATCAATGGCCATTTCAGGATCCTAGATTGGAGGTACCTACCACATATAAGGCCTATGTAAGGGCTATGTAAGGGAATATCCCCACAAAATATGGCCTTATATGGTACAGTACCTCCATTTTAGGATCCTGAAATTCCCATTGAAAAAGTGAATGCTGATATTTCATCAAAATATCAAACTGCTAATGAGTATATACTGGTTGGTGGTTGACCTACCCCTTTGAAAAATACGAAAGTCAGTTGGGATGATTATTCCCAATATATGGACAAATAAAAAATGTTCCAAACCACCAACCAGTATATATATATATATACACATATGTATATATATATATGTATATACCTATGGGATTCTAACCTCAAGTGGCCCCCCAAAAAAGGCGCCCCTACGATCCGATCATTCTGAAAGCTGCTCGAACACGAAGTGTTTGTATGGGATGATCCACAGAGAGTGAGATGGGGAAGCGGGATAATTTTATTGAACAGTATGGTATTAGTGTGGTATTGACATGGTTTAATTATTAATATGTTATTATATGGCATGTATATATATGGCATTATATGATATATATATATATATGGTATTAATAGAATATATATATATTATAAATATTATTAGTATTAATAGATATAGATATTAGTAGGAAAAGTACCCAATCGACCAGCAAGCAGGGGATTAATGGTAATGGTATTAGTAGATATTACTAGATAATATATTCTTAGAAATCTATATTATTAGAATATCATCAGCACTCTCCCAATATTATTGAATATCGATATTACTAGATATTATGAGTATGGTATTTTATATGGTATTTATATGGTTTAATGACTATAAATTTAGGGTATAATGGGATTGTTTAAGAATAAAATCTTATCATCCCATATAATTCATCATGTGATAGTGATTAACAATATAATATTTAACAATCAGTATGGCAAACCATAAATGGTATTGAATGGTATTATTAGATATTATCAGTATGGTAAACCATAAATACCATACTAAACGATATAATTGGAGGGTATTCTTTAACATTAGATAAAGCTGGCGTATGGATGGGATTGTTTAGCAATAAAAATCTGATGGTACATGTATGGGGATCCACCTTTCCCAAATTTACATTGGTAGAGTATGGTAGAGTATAATTTTTAATACTCCCCAAATTTAACATTTTCATGGGATTCCAACCATCAATTTATTTTCGTGGTTTATTTTGTTGATAGTCCACCAAACATTAATCTTGTGCTGGCTATATCTGGCTATGGTGATTTTCTACAAAGAGAATTCAACTGACCTAGCCATCCAAGGATTCCTGGATAAATTAGAAAATATTTCACTAAGCTGAATTAAAGCCATGGCTGGGGATGGTTTCCCTTATGAAAACCATGATTCCAGGCTTCGGGAGAACAGGCTTCGGTCGTGATGAAATTGATTCACTGGTGGGAACCGTTTGGATTCCGGAAATCCCCCAGAATCAGGATGAGAAAAACATAGAAAAACCACCAGTTCCCAAACAGCAGTTCATCCCTGCTTGAATTTTCTGGAAAAGAATCATACAAGATGCTTACAATGAATAAGCCAGATGGAAACTAGATGAAAAAAGGATGCTAGTAATTTGTAGTCAATTGTTTATAACTGTATTGTCAAGTATCAAATGATACTATCACGTATCAAGCACGAATGGAATATACTTCATGATGCTAGTATCAAACATTTTTCGGATAATCATCTGGTTGGTGGTTGACCTACCCCTCTGAAAAATATGAAAGTCAGTTGGGGTTAAAATTTCCCAACTGAATGGGAAAATAAAATTCATGTTCCAAACCACCAACCAGATTAGATATTATTAGTACGAAATTTTATAATCATCATATAATCATCATATGATGCTAGTATCAAACATTTTTCGGATAACCATTACATCTTTTGTGTGGGAAAAGAACAAGGCACGTATTTTTAGTCCCAACGAGGAGGTGGTTGATTTTTTCCATGCAGAATTGGTTGAATGTTCTATAAATCTCAGGTTATAAGATGGTTGGCATATATATATAAATATATCCCAGAGAATATATTAGAGTAGTGAGCTAATTAGTGGTAAAATTATCCAATTTTATCGGTTTCATATATATATAATTATAATTATATATATATATATATGATGAGGTCCAATTACTAAACGAGAGTTTTTTCTGACCAGGCAGTAGGGAACTCACGCTAAGGAGTTACTGGTGATCCCCACAGGGAATTTTGCTAGCAGTTGGGGCGTGTTCCACTGAACTTTCAGGAGCTTCAAAAAGACCAAGTCTTAAACTGGGGTGAACTAACCTACTTACGATTCGTGGGATGAAACACCAAGTGGGATTGATCATGGGGATCTGGGATTTATGCATCAAGAACAGATCTAAATTGGAGGCACCTACCATATATAAGGCACACAATATGGCCTGAAGTATGGTACAGTACCTCTATTTTAGGATCCTGAAATTCCCATTGAACCAAGTCTTGCCCCACTGTGCAACGAGCATTTGGATATGACTCAAGTTCTTTACCATGAAATTTTCCATTGGCCGCTTCCCCACTTTGAACCAAACCCATGTTCCCCCCCCACTTTGAACCAAACCCATGTGAATCAGCAGCAATGCTAAATGTCGCTCAGCGTCCATGCCGGGGTCGGTGTCATCGAAAGTGTAGATGAAGAAATGTTCAACACCTAAGGTTGAAGCAATTCTATCCGGTCAATGGCCATATCAGGTACCGATTGATTTCAGGTACCTAGCATAGAAAAAGAGCCTATGTAAGGCTGGTTGATGGTTGACCTACCCCTCTGAAAAATATTAGTCAGTTGGGATTATTATTCTCAATATATGGAAAGAAAAAATGTTCCAAACCAGCAGAGGGAAATAGCCTTATGTGATACGGTACCTCCATTGGCATTGAATACAAGTTGTTGCTCAATGGGACTCTTTACAAAACCCGATGGTTGGTGAAGATGGTGGCTGTGGCAAGTTTATCATATTCGTAAGATATAAAAAAGGAACAACATCATATGAATCATACCATTGATCCTCAAATCTTATCAAAACAGTATTTTCACTGATTGCCCATTGCTTCTTTATACTATTTTGACCAATGATCTTGATTAGATTGGTGGTTTACCACATTACTTGAAAGTGCAGTTCCACTAAAAGTAGCGCCAGTTGGAAAAACACAGTGCCCACATCGGTCCATGACCGGTGAAGCAAGTGAAGCAAGAAACATCAGAGGTAACAGAGACAATCGTCCAAAATGTCCAAATATACGGTAACGTTACCGCATGGCAAATACCTGGTTTTTACAGGGCACTAGACCGCGGGATGACCCCAAACTCTGGCAGATCGACTAATAGAGGAAAAAAAGGGCGGCTAATATCCCAAGAGGAGATCTCCGACTCCGACTCCGACTCAGTGTCCGTCCTCAGGCCACGCGGCGATCGCATTTGACTTGTTTTTTTTCACATATCAAAAGAGCTGCTATTGAAGATTGCTTTTTTTTTACCTGAGATCGCCACGGCTCATGCGGGGCAAACGTGATGTGGTAGTTGCGCGCGTGCGCGCAACGAAGACCTGGGTCTAAGCGGCATAAGCCTGAGGCTCCGACACAATATACACCACGTTATCCCCATTGTACGAAGGGTCCTCCCCAACGTAATTAAAGTCGAGGTTGCACGCCCGTGGCGATGCTCGGTCCAGTGATCGCCTACTTTGCGTGGCGCAACATACCCTCGCCTCGCAGTGGCCTCCAAAGCGTTCCAGCACGAAGACCTCGGTCCAGCGCGCTTGAAGGGCAAGCGCCTTTCATACAGCAAACACACAAAGTCCTGACGGCAAGCTCTTAGTGGCGCGTGGCGAGCGGGCATCTTTCCTTGGACCTCAGCGGTTTGATCTCTCTTGAAACCTAATTTGAGAAACGTATTGCTTTTGGAGCTCTTACGTTCTTTTTCTTTCTCAGCGTCGAACGCAACGAACTAAGTTGAGGGAAGGCGGAAAGGCGAGTTTGATTGATCTTCAAGGTGCTAGCAGAAGCAGTCGGTGTTCAAGGAAATGAACGCCATGATTTTTAAGATGACACACTTGCAAATGCGGCTCCAACATGCCTTCGGCAACTCTGTTGCATGCAACGGTTTGTGCGGTTGATCCTCATGTTGTGTTTGTCGTTCGTTGTCTCTCATGGGACGACGCGGGGTTCTTGACTTCGCCCCTTGCCATGAAAGCTTTCTGTTGAATTCCCCCTGGTCGGTCACCGAGCAATTACCAAGCCGTGCTGAGTCGCTTGCCGCCCTTTTGTGTCGCTGAAGCCTCGGAGCTTTGAAGGTCGTTGCTTCAAACCTCGGTTCGATGCGACTCCACACTGCGCCTTCAGCACGATCCGGCGGACGATGCCGCCAGCCAACCGGCTGAGGCGTAGCTCCACCGGCGGCAAGTAGACCATGCATGCCCAGCATAGGCCGCGCTCCCGGTGAGGAAGTTCCCGGGAGAGACCACGCGGCAGCTTGGCAAGGTGCCGCTCCGCCAGCAGCTCGGGCCGCGGCGACGACTTGCGGAACCCGTACGCCTTCCACATTTCGTGGGTGAGCTGTTCCACCTTTGCAGCGTCCACCTTCTTGGGCGCAACCTGAAATAAGGCCAACTATTGTGGGATAATTCCCCTTACTAACCATTATTCCAGTGAGGGAGAACAGTGAGGTCGTTATAATTTACCCAGAGATTCCCATAAAATCACCTGTCATTGCCAATCTTAGATGGCCAACGAAATGCGAAGTCGCGAAGTCTTTGCTAGGATGAATCCAAGATTGACGACAAGTCATAAATTCACTGATTCACTGATTCCAAAAAAGTCAACTCAGCCATTAGAACCCATCTAAATCCCAGATTTTGTTGGTTACCATCTGGTTATTTAACATAGCCATGGAACATCACCATTTTTAATGGGTAAACCATCTATAAATGGGCCATCTACACCACGGCTATGTTAAATAACCAGATGGTAAGTCGCCATTTTTCCCACATATTTTCCACCAACACCGGGCAATTCCACGGTGATTCTGCCATGTTGCCATGCATCACGTGGAATTCCATCCACTCCTGGAGGAACTGGTGGAAAAACACGAGTCCTTCTGGAGATATCATGGGGATATAATGATGTACACATATAATCACACATATAATCACATATATATATATATATGTATGTATGTATGTATGTATGTATGTATGTATGTATGTATGTATATATATACACTACTATACATGAATCTGGCTGAATTATGAAAATCCACTGGATTGAAAATAGCTGATGTATGGCCATTTGGGGATGATTCTCCACTAGCATCATTCCAGTGACGGCATCCGACGGATGGCCAGTTTAAACCAACGAAATCCAACTATTTTGGATGATATTATCAAGGGAAGGATGGGAAGGATGACATCTTATATAGGAAATGGATAATTAAAAAAAGTTTGAAACCACCAGCCAGTATAGTACATCAGTACATCAATGATATTAGTTGATAGTACATTATGATGTACATAAATATGCTAATATCATTATGCTGACATTATTGGATGATATTATTAGTGCTAAACATATTTATTCATAGTACAGTGATGCTGGGAATCATACATGTTCCAATTAATGATCTGGATAAATCGTTTGTCAACCGTTCTGATGGCCGCATTTGCGATGGGCGCGGAGTGGAAGCACTGCGCGAACGCGCAGTGGTTCCATGGTAGAAACATGACGTGGTGACGTGGTGATTTCTACAAGGTGGTGCCCCAGGTCGTTAGCTAAGTTGGTGCGTTCATAACTCCAATAACTATCTGGTTGGTGGTTTCATCCCCTCTGAAAAATATTAGTCAGTTGGGGTGATTTTTCCCAATATGGAAAAATGTTCCAAACCACCAGCCAGCTATGGTTTATGGTAGATATATCTATACTTAACTATGGTTTATAAGCCAACAAACATTACGGGGGGTTACCACCTTGTAAACCAAACAGGGATGAGTCAAAACCCAACACATTCTCAGGGATGAGCATCCATTCAACAGTTATTTGGATGTTCCCTGGGGTAGGATTGTAACCCATACACTAGCACAATCGGGATAATGGGGCCCCTATAACATCTATAACTATGTTCTATGGTCATATACCCTCTGGTAATGACTAACATATTGAAAATGGCCATTGAAATAGTTGATTTACCCATTAAACATGGTGGTTTTCCATAGTTATGTTAGTTTACCAGAGGGTATCCACTTAGATCACCGGAACTGCACTTCCAAGTGATTGGAAACACCAATCCACTTTGGTGTTAACAATCACCTGAGGCGGCAAACTTCAAATTGGGTCAGTTTACGATGAACTAAGCCCCCAGAACCACTGCTCTCAACCATCAACCAACCATCATGTCTCAATTGTATCCCAGCTTGTTGGTGGTAGAAATTCATATCATTTAATGATGTTCCATATTGCCGTCATCAAGAAAGTGTGGTTGCTGCTGGTTGCTGTTGGGGTCTGGCCCAGGGGGGTAAACAACCAGCCACTTTTGTGGATGAACATCTGGAGCCCATCAGGGGGATGGGAGTACAACTCTGAAAAGGAGGTTACCCGGCCTGGTAAACGTTTACAAGAAACTATGGAAAATCATCACCATGCTATAAATGGGAAAACTCACTATTTTGACTGGGCCATGGCTTCAATAGCTAACTGTTGACATAACCAGAGGTTAGTAAAACCATGCGCTTGCGGCACATCCACAAATCAGTCATGTTGTAATGTCTACCTACAGATCTGGGTAGATTCTAGATTTCACGAACCTGAAATAAGGCCAACTGTTGGGAGAGTTAGTCCTTACTAATCACTATTCTTGTGAGGGAGAACAGTGAGGTCGTGATCAAATTTACCCAGACAGGCCAATATCTATCCAACCCCAACCAGGCACCGATCTCCCGTCGTATACCTTCACACCAACTGACCCTCCATAGCAATGGGAAATCACCCATTGATACAGGATGGGGCCCCCAGTCGATAGCGTTCAGTTGCCTTAAAAGTGGCTGAATTCTTTTGTTTATGGTAGATAGAACGAACGGATGTTAATGGGGGTTACAAAGGTTTATAAACCAGCAAACATAACTGGTTTTCCCCATCCTGTAGGTATGTTGAAATATACCCAATTAAGGTACCTTCATTGTCCCATGATTTACCATTGGAAATCCCACAATTTCTGCCAGGAGGCAGGCAGCAACTTCAAAGGGGCATTGGATTGGTTGGTTAGGAAGACCTCCCTCACGCAAGCTGCAGTACCTCGACATGGACTGGATCCGATTGTGATGAATTTTATGCATGAAAAACGTTGTAGATTCGTTGTGTTCGAAGACTTGGATCAAATAGAAATTGGAGATTTTTTCGATGTGCAGTGAACCATCGATGTGAACTTGAGGATGGTTCATTCTTGAATTTTAACCCACAGATTATCACATAATTTGGTAGACGTTCTCGGGAAACTATCCAGAACGATGGACAATCTTGGAATATCATCATTTTTTAATAGGTAAAATGAACTAATTATACATGGTCATTTTCCATAGTTATGTTAGTTAACCAGAAGTTATCATTCTATTCCCAACAGCAGTGACTGTTTTCATTTTCAGTCTCTGAGCCTCTGAGTGGTAGGTCTTTTGTTGAGCAAAAACACTTGAACAGCACCCGAACGGCATCCTGGAACTTTGCAACCCTGCACTCCTGTTGGGTTGCAAAGCTGGGTGATAGCAAAATTACTCCATATTACTTCTACATGAGTTACAGTGGTTGCGGTTTGTCCAGTAGTTCATGGGTGGTTTATCCAGGTGCAATGATTGATCATCCCCACTATCTCGTTGGTGGTTGAGCCCTACCCAACGAATGGTGATTTAATGGGATTTTAGCATCACCAATAGGGATATCTTTGGGATTAAATGGGGAATCAATGATGTTAACTGGTTGGTGGTTGCGCCCTACCCCTCTGAAAAATCATGGATTTCGTCAGTTGGGATTATGAAATTCCCAATATATGGAAAAATAAACAAATGTTCCAAACCACCAACCAGTCATGGAATTCACGGGCTGTTTAAAATCGCTGCAGGAGTTTGTGTATGAACAAAACAAAACTTGGAATAACCTTCAGGAAAGCCCCAAAAAGATTGACATATTCCCCAAAAACGATTCCACAAATGGTGGATGTTCGGAAAAATAACCACTCACCTCAAGCAAACCATGGCTATCTATTGATATTTCTACAGGATTTCTTCCATCCCCAGAAACTACACAAGGTGCTGCCCCCCAGTTATGTTTGTTGGTTGATAAACCATAGGAATAGTATAGATATATCTACCATAAACCATAGAATTCAGCCACTTATAAGGCAACTTACCCTTTGGTAAACTAACAGAACTATGGAACATCACAATTTTTAATGGGTAAATCAACTATAAATTGCCATTTTCAATAGCTATGTTTGTTTACCAGAGGGTAGCTATCTTGGGGGCCCCATCCTGTAGGTGATCTATATAAAATCCCTCAACCTCGCAGGGCTGCCCTCAACTTGAAGGCCATCCAAGAGCTGAGAGCTGACAACAACACGAGGATTTCCATGGAAAAATCAACTATTAATGGATCATTTAATGAGAACATCATTTATATAACTAAATATATAATGTATAGTATCATATGTATATAAAATATAAAATAATATATATATATATATATCATCTATTTATGGGGAATTTTCCAGTGCAATGTTTGAGTACCAGGGGAAACTTTCTTTATAATCCCCAATATATTGGGTAGCGATATAATCATTAACAAAGAGTGGTTTTGAACAGCGCTGAATTATACTAAGGGAAGTCCTATTAACCACTATAAACAATGATTTAACAACTTGATCAACTGCCATTGACCAGTATCAAAACCGTGCTCATTTGAAACAGTGGGGATGGGATTCACCTGAAAACTATTATTAACCACTATTAACTATTAATAATAATAGTGGTTAATAATAGTTAATAGTGGTTAATAGTGGTTAATTAACTGGTAACTATTAACCACAATTAGCTATTATTAGCCATTACTAACCATTACCCTCTGGTAAATTAACAATAGACCCTGGCAGTCACCGGAGTTGGAAGATTCGTTTCCACTACACATGTTTTTCTTTTTTCAGGGTCTATGTTCAAAGGCCATTTCAGGATCCGATTGATTGGAGGTACCTAGCATATATAAGGCTTATGTAAGGCCTATGTAAGTGAATATCCCCACAAAATATGGCCTGAAATATGGTACAGTACCTCCAATTTAGGATCCTGAAATGACCATTGATATGTTAATTTACCAGAGGGTATAATCAACTATTATTTGCCGAGTCGCCATACTTCTTCTGAAACAGCGTTGGCTTATGATCCGCCACCATACTTCCTATAGCCTGCCAGGAAAAGTCTGCGGGTGCGAATCGCGAATGAATCGCGAATCTCAGGCGATTTTCCAAAAATGCCGATACACCCAAACCAAACAAACATGTTGATTGAACCGCAAAAAATGGTGATTTCATGGGATCTAAGTGTGATTAAAGTAATCAAAATGGTAATATCACCAAGAAACATGAGTTTTGAGATGAAGATTTATCTATATATACACTACACATGGATTTATAGTTGATGTATGTTAGATAAGTTGGTGGAACTTTCACTACCTTGACTTGGCTTTCTGATAGATACCTTTGAATTTGCTAGATGGGTAATTGAACAACAATCAACAAGCACGTGGCTGGGGGGAAAACAATCCCCCTTGGATGTTGGCGTTCTTACCCATCCTGGCCTTAAACCTTCCCAGACTTTGGTAAAAAAATTCTTGGGGCAAACCGGATGGTTTCATGTAAAGCTTCCTTTGAATCTGTCAAATCGAGACCTCCGAAAACACCCGATGGATTGGTCTTTCAGTCAATGGTTCCAGTATGTTTTTGGTTCGCTCCTGGGGAGTTTTTGGATTAGACTCCGGACTCTGCAGGTCCAGCAGTGACTCAAGGCTACGGATCGGCCAGCAAGTCGCATCAGTAATCAAACTCATGGCCAACAAAACCCAGATTCATGCGTAAGAGCAAGCCTGGAGAAGGGGGAGTAGTTATCCCCCGAAAGAAAACAATGCAAGATGCTACTCAAATCCTACCTTTTTCCCAATTGAACGGACACAGTTTATTAAAAACCCAATATCATATCGTATATTGCTCACTGTATCCATTCTATCCCAACAAGATGGTTGGCGTTTGTAGATACAGGAAGGAGCTCCCTAGCTATAAGTTGGCTTATAAACCTATCTGACTATACTTATATATATATATACACGTACGTATATATATATATATAAGTATATATATGTATGGGTGTTTCCTAAAATAGGGGCACCCCAGTTCTCATCCATTTTTCCATAGCACCACCCATATATCATCCACATGATGGCGCTCTCAACAAAGCCAGGGTCTGAAGAAATGGTATCCAATGAACTCCCTATTCTTGATGGTTAAATCCTACATTATGTATATTTATACACATAATATCATATCATTTCATTTCATATCATATCATATACCTACATACACGTATATATATATATATGTTATATATCCCGATTAATGTGGGTAAAACAATAATAAACCACCCATTTGGGAATCGTTTGTACCACCTATTTGTGGTGATTTGGGGGATGGTTTATTATTGTTTTACCCACATTATATCCCATATAATCTTCTCAATCCCTGGCGCGGCCGCGCGCAGCCTTGCCCTTGGCATCTTCCTCGACGCTGGAACATCACATTTCAACCATGATTTCTCCAATGTGGGGCTCCCAAAATAGCTAAACTGGTGCGTTTATAACTCCAATAAGTATGGTATATTATGTTATATAATAGTTAGAAGTTATAAGTATCGTTAATGCGGGTTCTAGATTAACTTATAACCTGGGGGCCCCTCTTGTATGGCCGTGTTGTGTTTATACCATGTTTATACTCCAGAACAATAACTATTTTTTAGGGGAAATGCTGATGAATCATCAATTGTTGGAATATTTTCAGACAGCTTTAATGCTTTATCAACCTTGGATACCAACATTTTTGTTGGATACCTTGTTGAAATGCAGATGAATCATCAATTGTATCTAAGGTTGATGACATGTACAAACATATTTTTTTGGGTTGTCCAGAACTGCTTTTCTTTAATACCCCCAATGATGGAAATGTTCACTGGGGAAAAATGAGATTCTATACCCTCTGGTAAACGTTTACATAACTATGGAAAATCACCATTTTATAGCTGGGTAAATCCACTATTTTGACTGGGCCATTTTCAATAGCAAACTGTAACAGTTTACCAGAGGGTAGCGGATGGAGTCTCGAAAGAGTGTTCCCAAATTTCCGAATCTCAAACATGCCACATTCCAGTCACGAAGGTTATACCAATTAGATTTTACCATATGGCCAATCAGCCAGATACCCTGCAAAAAAATAAATTCTTGGCTGGTGAACGTAGATGATCCCATATCAAAAGACTATTTTGGATTAGTTTCTACCCATCTTTCAGATTGCCCTAGATCTGGATAGATTCTGGTACTTCAGCAACCTGACAAGTTCGACCATTTGAGGATACCCCGTCCAGTTCCCATCACTTAACTAAAGTTTTTCATAGCCAAATCCAAATTTGATAACTCGAACCTCGTCGCCATTTTTGATGGAAAAGTCCACCATGATTGAAATATCAGCTTAAGTTAACCTCCTGATGATTCCATTTTACATGGCCAATCTGGCAGCCTGCAAAAAATGACAGCTTCTTAGCTGGTTAGTAAACGTAGATAACACCAAAAGACTATTTTGGATCAGTGAAACTTTGGATTAGTGAAACTATCCAAGATTATCCCATGAACATCCCATAAACGTGACCATATCCCCTGATTAACATATGAGCCATGGTCAATACTCACTATATGGTTGATGGTCATCCCATCCATAATAAGGATCCAAAAATTATGGTTATTATAAATCCCTATGAACCATTGGATGACTAGCCCCGTTTTTAATGGTTATTAACCATGAGTATTGACCATAGCTCATCTCAGATTGACACAGGTGACTTAGTTACACGCCATTCCCACGCCGAGCTGCCAGGAAGACTTCAAACTTCTCCAGATCTTTGTCGCTCTCCGGCCATTGGCATAGAAGGTTCACCTCTCGCGCTGGTGGTTTCGCAGCGTTTTCCAAGCCAAAAAACGGATACCCTCTGGTAATTTAACATAGCTATTGAAAATTGCCATTGAAATAGTGGATTTTCCCATTAAAACTTGTGATTTTCCCATCAGTTTTTTGTATGTTTACCATAGGATATGGGGATATTTCCAACGGATGATGATGAGTCAACCTGGTCGACATGGGTGATTTCGATGGATTGTATAGTTGGTTTGAAGGTATGGTGCCCCCCAAAAAACGTTGAAAGCTTGTTGGTGGAGTTTCACCCCGAGTACAATTTGTGGTTTAGTTTAGTAGGTCAACACATGGGCTTGTGCTTACCATCATTTGGGCATTATTGAGGGCTGACAGGGCGACGCGGGTGTTTCAACCATCGGCAACTAATAAAATAGACTGTTTAATGGTATCCTCTTACAATCTAACATAGTTATGAAACCACCATTTTACTAGATAAACGATCTCGTGCAATGGGCGAATCACTTTTATCCATCATCAACCGTCATTTGTCATCTATATCTCTGTAACAAATCAGGCAGATTCAAGCAGCCCAAAAAAACATATATTGGTTGTTAATGGTTGTTATACATTCCATATTTTTTTTGTTAAATATATCACATCCCAATATCCACATTATATACCCATAAAAATGATAATAGCAATGAGAGGGGTAATTTCAGCCGTTAAAATCTAATTACATCACCATTAAAGTCCCATTGCGCTCCCATTAGAATCTTATACGCTCCCCATAAAGTGGTTGGTTAAACTAGTTAAACCCCATATCTTAATGGCGAGTCATTAACATCCATTTGGGTAGTTTCAGCCACAACATTCCACAAAGTGGTGTCCCAGTTCGTTAGCTAAGTTGGTGAACATAACAAGCAGGATTATATGGTTTGTTAATGTGTGTGTGGTAGAATATGATATTTCGAACTACTTTGAACGGATGAAACTAAACCAACGAACATCATGTTGGGGGCACCACCTTGTATGAATTTAGGAGAGTTTCCAAAACCATATAAATAAATCCATACAGAAACCATATCTAAAGCCCTATAGAAACCAGAAACCATATCTAAAGCCCGATATAACCACATAAAGTCATAGGGCCAATCCGACACACATCAGGTTCTTGGTTCTTCGGATTGCAACTGAAAGCGTGTGAGTGTCCAAACCGCAGACCAAGCGAACTGTCGCGTTCCAAGTTGATGAACATTTCTTTGAATTAGGATTTCGTCAGCCCATTGGGCCCATTGCTTGGATTCTCCAACCTGGAATATGGAAAAAAGGGTGCGTCTGCCCCGACTAACATGTGGATGTAGCGCGTGAACTCGATGTGTCTGCCCCGCGGCGAAGAAGTCCCTCCATGGAACTCATTGAAACCACGAAGAAGTCACATCACTGCGAAGAAAACATCACCATTCCGAAGGGATTTCCCAGTGGGAAAAATGGACAACAATGGAGGTTTCTTAAGTCATGGTGGATCCCCAGTCGTCACCATAGGTTTCAATACCAGGTCATGGTCATCCATGAACCGATTAATCTGCCATGGATAGAGTTTCTTCCACATCACTGAATTGTACCATCAACATATAGCAACCTCCATACAAATGCCCACTATACGAACAAAACAAGTTCATAATTGTTGTAACCATGGCAAATATAAATTGATGTTCAAAACTTGGTGAATATCATATCAACAGGATGGTGCCCCCCCAGTTATAGGGCAAGTCTTTTTTTGGACCTTGGATCACTTTTTTTTGACCTTACCCTCTTTTTTTGACCTTGGATCCCTTTTTTTTGACCTTGGATCACTTTTTTCTGACCTTGACCTACTCTTTCTTAACCTTGGCATGTTCCTTTTTAACCTTGGCCTACTTCCCCATACTTGTTTGGAACCTTGCGCCATCTTGCACTTTTTCTCTGTGTGTGTGTGATTCTGGAGTGTGTAGAGTGCGGAGGTAGGCATGTGGAATGTCGAGTTTGCATCTGGCGTGCGGGGTGTGGCGACTGGTGGGTGGAGTGTGCATGGCGTGGACTGTAATGTTTGCAGTGTATGGTTTTCATTTGTAGTGTTCAGTATGCTGGATGTGAAATGCAACGTTGGGCGTTTCGTGCCCAATGTGAGGTGTGGAGTTTGCAGTGTGAAGTGTAGAGTTTGCAGTCTAATGGAGCGTGTAGAGTGCGGAGGTAGGCATGTGGAATGTCGAGTTTGCATCTGGCGTGCGGAGTGTGGCGACTGGTGGGTGGAGTGTGCATGGCGTGGACAGATAGGAAATTGATGGATGGAAAGATGGGTCAATACGCAATGGAAAGATAGATAGATCGATAGATAGCTATCGGCAAAGAGACATTGCGACATAGAGACATATAGACATAGAGACATAGTCATAGCTAGATAGATGGAGGCAAAGATAGAGATAGATAGATATAGATAGATAGATTGCTAGATAGATCAAAATAGATACACATAGATGCAGATTAACCTAGTTTGATATAGATAGAATTAGATGAATAAAGGTATATAGATAGAATGAGAAAGATAGATATGGCGAAATAGATAGTAAAGATAGGATACATAGCATAGATAGGATAGAAAGGAGAGACAGACAAATAGAGAGATAGAGAGATAGATAGATAGATAGATAGATGGATAGATAGATAGATAGATAGAAAGATCGACAGATACACAGATAGACAGATAGATATGGTGAAATAGCTAGCAAAGATAGGATACATCGGATAGATAGGATAGATAGGCTAGATAGGATAGATAGGATAGATAGGATAGATAAGAATAGATAAGATCGATAGGATAGATGTGATAGATAGGATAGATAGGATTCAAAGGATAGATAGATAGATAGATAGATACATAGATAGATAGAAAGATAGATAGATAGGTAGACAGACCGATAGTCAGATAGTTAGTTAGATAGATAGATAGATACATAGATACATAGATACACAGGTCGATGGAAAGAAAGAAAGATAGATCTATAGACAGACAGAAAAAATGACAGATAGTGAAATAGATAGATAGATAGATAGATAGATAGATAGATAGATAAGTTGATGGATGGAAAGATGGGTCGATACGCAATGGAAAGATAGATCGATCGATAGATATATATAGGCAAAGAGGCATTGCGACATAGAGACATATAGACATAGTCATAGCTAGATAGATGGAGGCAAAGATAGAGATAGATAGATATACATAGATAGATTGCTAGATAGATAAAAATAGACACACATAGATGCAGAATAACCTAGTTTGATATAGATAGAATTAGATGAATAAAGGTATATGTATATATACATAGAATTACATTGATAGAGTGAGACTGAAATAGTTTGATATAGATAGATAAAAATTGAAGTAGGTTGATATAAATAGATTCAAGTTAGTGTAGTTTGATATAGATAGGTCTGGAAAAAATAAATACAAATGGATCTGTATAGATAAATCCGGACTGGTATAGTTTGTATACGGATAGGTAGAGAGATAAACAAACAGATAGATAGCTACCTAGCTAGCTAGATAGATAGATATGGTAGAATAGAAAGTAAAGATAGATAGGAAAGATCGATAGCAAAGAAAGCTAGGAGAGTTAGATAGGAAAGATAGGATAGATAGGGTTGAAAGGATAAATAGGATAGATACGATAGATAGGATAAATAGGAGAGATAGGAGAGATAGGAAAGATAGGATAGATAGGATAGATAGGACAGATAGGATAGATAGATAGATCGACAGATGGATAGGTAGATAGAGAGATAGATAGATAGATAGATAGGTAGATAGGTAGATAGGTAGATAGGTAGATAGGTAGATAGGTAGATAGATAGAAGGATAGATAGGATAGATAGGATAGATAGGATAGATAGGATAGATAGGATAGATAGGATAGATAGGATAGATAGATAGATAGATAGATAGGATAGATAGATAGATAGATAGGATAGATAGATAGATAGATAGATAGATAGATAGGATAGATAGATAGATAGATAGATAGATAGATAGATAGATAGATAGATAGGTAGATAGATGGATAGATGGATAGGATAGGATAGGATAGGCTAGGCTAGGCTAGGATAGGATAGGATAGGATAGGATAGGATAGATAGATAGATAGATAGACAGATAGATAGGTAGATAGATAGATAGACAGATAGATAGATAGACAGATAGATATGGTGAAATAGCTAGTAAAGATAGGATACATCTAGTAGATAGATAGGATAGATAGATAGATAGATAGATAGATAGATAGGATAGATATAGATAGATAGATAGATAGATAGGATAGATAGGATAGATAGGATAGATAGGATAGATAGGATAGATAGGATAGATAGGATAGATAGGATAGATAGGATAGATAGGATAGGTAGGATAGATAGGATAGATAGGATAGATAGGATAGATAGGATAGATAGATTAGATAGATTAGATAGATTAGATAGATTAGATAGATTAGATAGATTAGATAGATTAGGTAGATAGGATAGATAGGATAGATAGGATAGATAGGATAGATAGGATAGATAGGATAGATAGGATAGATAGGATAGATAGGATAGATAGGATAGATAGGATAGATAGGATAGATAGGATAGATAGATAGATAGATAGATAGATAGATAGATAGTTAGATAGATAGATAGATAGATAGATAAGTTGATGGATGGAAAGATGGGTCGATACGCAATGGAAAGATAGATCGATCGATAGATATATATAGGCAAAGAGGCATTGCGACATAGAGACATATAGACATAGTCATAGCTAGATAGATGGAGGCAAAGATAGAGATAGATATACATAGATAGATTGCTAGATAGATAAAAATAGACACACATAGATGCAGATTAACCTAGTTTGATATAGATAGAATTAGATGAATAAAGGTATATGTATATATACATAGAATTACATAGATAGAGTGAGACTGAAATAGTTTGATATAGATAGATAAAAATTGAAGTAGGTTGATATAAATAGATTCAAATTAGTGTAGTTTGATATAGATAGGTCTGGAAAAAATAAATACAAATGGATCTGTATAGATAAATCCGGATTGGTATAGTTTGTATACGGATAGGTAGAGAGATAAACAAATAGATAGATAGCTACCTAGCTAGCTAGATAGATAGATATGGTAGAATAGAAAGTAAAGATAGATAGGAAAGATCGATAGCAAAGAAAGCTAGGAGAGTTAGATAGGAAAGATAGGATAGATAGGGTTGAAAGGATAGATAGGATAGATACGATAGATAGGATAAATAGGAGAGATAGGAGAGATAGGAAAGATAGGATAGATAGGATAGATAGGGCAGATAGGATAGATAGATAGATCGACAGATGGATAGGTAGATAGAGAGATAGATAGATAGATAGATAGATAGATAGGTAGATAGGTAGATAGGTAGATAGATAGAAGGATAGATAGGATAGATAGATAGATAGATAGGTAGATAGATGGATAGATGGATAGGATAGGATAGGATAGGATAGGCTAGGCTAGGCTAGGCTAGGATAGGATAGATAGATAGATAGACAGATAGATAGGTAGATAGATAGATAGATAGACAGATAGATATGGTGAAATAGCTAGTAAAGATAGGATACATCGGATAGATAGGATAGATAGGCTAGATAGGATAAATAGGAGAGGTAGGAGAAATAGGAAAGATAGGAAAGATAGGAAAGATAGGATAGATAGATAGATAGATAGATAGGAAAGATAGATAGATAGATAGATAGATAATTAGATAGGTAGATAGATAGATAGATAGATAAATAGGTAGATAGATAGATAGATACATAGATAGGTAGATAGGTAGATAGGTAGATTGGTAGATAGGTAGATAGGTAGATAGGTAGCCGGGATGAGATGCGATAGGACAGAATGGGACAGGACTGAATAGGATGGATAGGATAGAATTGCATTTGAAAGGATGTGATAAGATAGGATAGGCTAGGAGAGGAAAGGTCGAGGAAATGGTCTCGGAAGTTGGATGTAAACATTGGATAGATATAGGTCAGGGTTGGATAGGTGAGAATAATTGGACAGATAAGACAAACACGACAGATCGGACAAACAGGAAACCTAGGATAGATAGAGCAGATAGGACAAATAGGCACAGAATCTCCCAAATCTCCTGGAACCGTCTAGAACCTTCCACAATCTCCAAGCCAGCCGCACTTTAACCTTGCTCTGGGCTCAATCCCTGGAGCTGGGACTGCTGGGCAAAATTGCAAACTAGGTTTGAAAAAAGAGGTGCAAGGCTAGAAAAAAGAGGTGCAAGGTTAGAAAAAAGAGGTGGCAAGGTCAGAAAAAAGAGGTGCAAGGTTTGAAAAAAGAGCTGCAAGGTTAGAAAAAAGAGGTGGCAAGGTCAGAAAAAAGAGGTGGCAAGGTCAGAAAAGAGAGGTAGCGAGGCAAGGTTAGAAAAAAGAGTTTTCCAAGGTTAAAAAAAAGAGGTAAGGTTAAAAAAAAGAGACGCAAGGTTAAAAAAAAGAGGGGCCCCCAGTTATAAGTTGGTTTATAAACCCAATTAACTAGTTCGTTATATCTACCATAAACCATAGTTAACCAAGTTATGTGCGTCAACTTAGCTAACGAACTGGGACACCACCTTGAAGAATTTCTTATCGAAGCGAGAAAAAAATCCAAATTCACTCCCGCCAAGGCACAGTGATTATACCCGCTGGTTATTTAACATAGCCATGGAAAATGGCCTTTTTCTAATAGGTAAATCATTAAACAACATCTATAAATGGACCATTTTCCATGGCTATGTTAAATAACCAGAGTGTATACAACATAGTTTTTTTCACCATTTGTATGGTATTTGGGGGTTTCCTAAAATCGGGGTACTAGTTTTCATCCATTTTATGTTCGGATTTTCCCTGAAATAAACCATCCAGCTATTGGGTACCCCATTTATGGAACCCCCCATATAAGTTGGTAAATCCAATAACTATGGTTTATGGTACTTATAGCATCTTATAACTACGTATAGTTTATGTGGATTATAAATCATGGTAAAATGATGGGGATTAATGGGATTACCAATTAGTAGGAATACATGATGGGATATACCCTCCGGTAAACCAACATAGCTATCGAACATGGCCATTTAGTTCGTTGATTTACCCATCAAAAATGGTGATTTCCCATAGTTTTTCCCCACCTGCCAGGTGAGGGTTGTTAGATTTTATGTCAGTTGCCTCCTCCTCCTCCTCCTTCTCCTCCTCCTCCTCCTTCTCCTCCTCCTCCGCCTCCTCCTGCCTCGTCCTCCTCTCCTCCTCCTCCTCCTCCTCGTCCTCCTCGTCGTCCTCGTCGTCCTCGTCGTCCTCGTCGTCCTTGCTCAACTGCGACCCGCGATCCACAGTGTTCTCTGCCGGACCTCAACCACAACCATCCACGCCCAGTGTTCCCTGCCGGACCTCAACCACGACCATCCTCGCCCAGTGTTCCCTGCCGGACCTCAACCACGACCATCCACGCCCAGTGTTCCCTGCCGGACCTCAACCACGACCATCCTCGCCCAGTGTTCCCTGCCGGACCTCAACCACGACCATCCACGCCCAGTGTTCCCTGCCGGACCTCGACCGCGAGTATCCACGCCAAGTGTTCCCTGCCGGACCTCATGTAGGAAGATATGGGACAAAGAATGTGCAGAAGAAAGTTAGAAAGAATGTCAGAAAGAATGTCATAAGATATGCCAGAAGATATGCCAGATAGAATGCCAGATAATATGCCAGAAGATATGCCAGATAGAATGCCAGATAGAATGCCAGAAGATTTGCCAGATAGAATGCCAGAAAATATGCCAGAAGATATGCCAGATAGAAATGTAAGAAGATATGCCAGAAGATATGCCAGAAGATATGCCAGAAGATATGTCAGAATATATGCCAGAAGATATGTCAGATAGAATGCCAGAAGATATGTCAGAATATATGCCAGAAGATATGCCAGATAGAATGCCAGATTGAATGCCAGAAGATATGTCAGATAGAATGCCAGAAGATATGCCAGATAGAATGCCAGAAGATTTGCCAGATAGAATGCCAGAAGATATTCCAGAAGATATGCCAGATCATATGCCAGAAGATATGCCAGATAGAATGTCAAATAGAATGTCAGAAGATATGTCAGATAGAATGCCAGAAGATTTGCCAGTAAGAAAATGTATAAATGTCATGGTGGGGATCACACGAAGTAAAGTAATTTGTATGTTTACCAGAGGGTAAATGATGGGGTCCCAAAAAAAATCACATCCCTAATCGATTCCCCAGCAATGGTGGAGTTTCCAGTGGTGGAAACCCCCATAGATCAAGTTGGTTTATATTCCATTCATATACCAATTCTCCAATTCTGGTCAAACACTCCAACTATCCATTAGTAGATTTCCCACTATGAACCGTAGATTTTCCACTAGTTGCACTAAAGCACTCCTATATATATATCATATATTAACTGCACTCCCAAGCAGCCAAGGCACGCTGACTTGGGTTCCCTTCTCTCCATGGTCCCAGCCATAGGCTGTGACCGGCGACTTGTGCTTGCGATCGGCGCCGGAGCAGTACAAGGGAAACCTGGGACTGTCGATAAGAAGGGAAACCAGTCCACCAAAAGATGGATGTTGGGTGTCGCAACACCAAGAAAACTATAGAAAAATGGTGATTTCATGCGACTTCATGGTGATTTAATGGGATTTGATGGTGATTTGATGGTGATTTCATGGGATTTCATGGGGGTTGATGGTTATTTGATGATGATTCAATGGGATTTCATGGTGATTTAACCGTTAAGTCTGTTAAGTATCATATAGTATCACTATCAATTTTAGTAGTGGATTTGGATGAACTTCTAGTTGATGTATGTTGATATATCACAGGGGTTGGTAACTGTCCCATTTTGGGAATATTGGACATCACCTGAAAAAGTAGCCATGGCATATAGACCATATACCGATTTTGGTTGGGTGATGTGACCCATGGGGACATCAGTCATGACCCATGTATCATGTATCATGGGCAAGTTCTTGGGATGGAACCAACTTGGGCATAACTGGACACCACGTTGTAGGACTTGGGACCCCTTGGGATTTTTTCACTTGGCAAATGGCAATCCAAAACGATTACCCTCTGGTGAACTAACATAGCTATGGAAAATCACCATTTTTAATGGGAAAATCCACTATAAATGGCCATTTTCAATTGCAAACTGTTAAATTACCAAAGTTATAATCGTTTTTTTTTTTACATAGACATAACTTAAGGGAATTTCTAATTACAAATGGGGCGAATAAGGAAACTTGTAATGGATGAAGCAAGGAAACTCAATTCAATGTGGGTACAAAAAGAATCGCTAATTGGCTGAAATGGGTAGACCTATCAGCAGTTTTTTTTATCAGCAATTGTGCGATCAAGAACCGTTATCGCAAGATTGGTCTAACTGAAAATAGGCAAAACCCCAATCCGTTGGTTCATCATTTTCCTTCAATGGCCCAATTTTTCTGGCCTACCCTCTGGTAAACGTTTGCATAACTATGGAAAATCATCATTTTTAATAGGTAAACCAACGAACTAAATGGGCCATGTTCAATAGCTATGTTAGTTTGCCAGAGGGTAGAACATGTTTTTTTTTGGATAAAACCACACAGTCATCCCCCAGGAAAATCCACCATAAATATACAGGTGCTATGTAAACCATTCCCAGTCATAGCTATGTAACAAATTACCAGAGGCTAATCCCCCATCAGTCCGGGGCTGAGACGATCCAGGAATTCCCCAAAAAATATGTCCCACGGTGGTGGTGCAGTGAGCTGTTCACGAATAAAGTTGGTGATAAGTCGAATTAATCTGTTGGGTTGATGAATGGGGGTTATATCGAACTAGTTAATCTAGTTTTCATGGGATTAAAACCCATTGATAACTGGGGGGGGCACTACCTTGTAGTGATGTTTTCGGGAAAAATAGAGATCCTGGACTCGGAGGAACCAGGCCTGTCTCCAAGATTTTGAGGAATACTTAATGTACAAGGTGGTATCCCCCAAACGTGATGTTTGTTGTTTCTAATCCCCATGACAACTAGTTTGGTATAACCCCCAAGGTCATGGCCAATCTGGCAGCCTGCAAACAATGATAGATTCTGAGCTGGTTAGTAAACGTAGATAATCCCATACCAAAAGACTATTTTGGATTAGTTTCTACCCATCTAAGATTGCCCTAGTTATGTAGTAAAAGTTTCACACAGGCGTCCCACTGAAAAGAACACCATGAGGGGACTGATGGAGTTCTTGATGCAGCCAACCACTTGACTCAGTACAAGGTGGTGCCCTCTAGATAGCTAAGTAGGTCAACCAGGGAATATATATGTATGTATATGTATATATATATGTATATTATACATATGTATATATATATATATGTATGTATATATGTATACATATCCATGGTCAATCTTTGATAGTGCACCAAAAAAAATAAACGTTTTCTGCTTATGGTTATTGTCAATTCTATAGCAACCAACTAACAGATGAAACCAGCCATCTCAGGTTGGGCATATATCAACTGAGGTGCCCGAATTTTCTCAGTTGAGATCACTACCATGCACCCTTTTTTCCATGAATTTGTGCTGGTTCTCAAGCATGTGCGTTTCATGTGATGACGCTCGGAAGACCCAAGAACCTATTAACACTTAACACAGCCATATTTCAGATATTTGGTTGCACTCCACTTGACTTCAAATTACCCAAAACTCAACTTAAATACTTCATCGGCTGGGATGTGAGTATTGTTCATGGTTCAATTGCCACCAGTTCACTTAGACCCCAATTTTTAGTGGACACTAATCGTCAAACCCCCTACTCGAGGGTGCAGTTCCAGTTCTGCAATTCATCATAGTTATAGGGGCCCCCATATCACAACTTACAGGGGTTGAAAACCATGGTTATACCCTCTGGTAAACGTTTGCATAACGGAAAATCATCATTTTTAAGTTCGGTAAATCAACGAACTTTCTATGGGCCATGTTCAATAGCTATGTAAACGTTTACCAGAGGGTCCCATAGAAATGACCCCAGCTAGACGATCTGGGAGGTTCTCTATGAATCTTCAGCGGGCTTGTCATATGTAGAAATGTGCTATTCAGTTATACCCTCTGGTAATGAGATACATAGCTATTGAAAATAAACATTTAGTTCGTTGATTTAACTATTAAAAAGGATGATTTTCCATAGTTTTTTGTACGTTTACCAGAGGGTAACTATGGCTATGTTCACCAGTTACGATGTGTGGGAGAATCGCGCTTTATCACCTAATGTTAGTAAAGCAATAATAAATAACCTAAATAACCCATATTTTGATGGTTTATACCACCCATTGGCAAGATTGGGGATGGTGGATCATCCCATAAAAATCCCCAGTGTTGGTTTAGTCACCATCTTCCTATGGTTTTCCTATGGCTTTCCTATGGTTTTCCTATGGTAACATGTTATAACCCATGGCCAATCTGGCAGATAGCCTGCCAAAAATGAGATTCTTTGCTGGTTAGTAAACGTAGATAATCCCATACCAAAGTCGACTATTTTGGATTAGTTAAACTACCCATCTACAGGATGGTGCCCTCCAGTGATGTGAATGTTGGTTTATAAACCCCATGAAAACATTTATATCTATCTACCATGGTCCCCCAATCGAATTCAGCCACTGAAAAAACTTGTGCTCAACTTTCGGGAATTTTCGGGATAATGATCCACTGGCGAACTATCCTGGTTGGTGGTTGAGCCCTACCCCTCTGAAAAATCATGGATTTCGTCAGTTGGGATCATGAAATTCCCAACTGAATGGGGGAAAACATAAAATTCCATGGTTCCAAACCACCAACCAGCAATTTTATCATCCTAACCCAACCCCCAGCAACCCAACCATTTCCACCCTCCGTCGATGAAAAGGTGCTTCTTCAAGGCCAAGAGGAAATCGTCCGGGTTGGAATCCGCCCTGATCGTCGAAGATGGGAAAATCATGGGAAGATCATGGGAAACTCGTGGAAAAATGTAGGAACATCTAGGGAAGATGTAGGAAAATCTAGGAAACTCGTGGCGATTAAACCAAGAAAAACGGGGATGAGAAAATATGGATTTACAGTTGATGTAAGAGTTGATGATAGCTCTTAAGCTGGTTAGTATAGCAACCACCAATAAGATGATTAGAACAGTAAATTCCTACTAAAAAGGGTGGCAAAACCCTTTTACTATCTTGAGGTTGCTATATCTTGGGGCTCTCGTTTAAAGCCGACGAAAATTTTGAGGATGGTCTCACTCAACTGGCTATTTGGGAGTATACACTGGTGATCTCTCGGATCCAAATATCCTATCAAGTTGGCTATCTATCCCATGAATCTCCGAAATAGTATCCATTATATCCTAAGTATTCTTAGTGTATACCCCCATTGTTTAATCCCGATAGATTCGGCAGTGTGCCAATCCTTTGTCGGTCCCTTTTACTGATTGGTTACAGTAATAGGATTTCCAATAATGGATCATGATAGTCCCCAATGTATTTGGTCGTAAAGCCACCTCTAATCATCAAACAACAGGGGTTTTGAACATCATATATCAACATATATCAACATATCATGCTTAAAACATCTTGAAACTCCAATAAAGTCGCGAAAAAATGGCTGCAGGATGGTGCCCCCCAGTTATACGTCGGTTTATAAACCCCATTAACTAGTTCGTTATATCTACCATAAACCATAGTTAACCAAGTTATGTGCGTCAACTTAGCATGAACAGCTCATTGGGGCACCACCTTGTTGTGATGTACCATATTTCAACAATGATCGTCTCCGCACTTCGACCCGAGCTTCCACAAATCATGAAGCAGCGCGATGTAATTCCCATCATCGCCAAAGGTCCTGGGTAAACAAATCCTGCTTGACTGGATGACTGGATGACTGGTTTACACTTTGCGAACTGGAAAATGATCCATGTAGGGATGATTTTTACCGATATTTACCGAAAAAAAACACACACATTTTGTGAATCTTACCCGCAACAAAACATCAAGTTTTTAGCTGGTGAATGGACTAATTTTACCGTAACAAAAGATTAGAGTACTAGTATCTAAGCAAGGTTGACCCACTTAATAATGTGTGATTCACCCAATGCCAGGCTGTCAACATCCCATTTTTTTGTAACCATTAGGATGAAAACACATAGGTACATAATTTTGGGTTTACGCCAGTGAGTGGATTGACAAGATATCGTCAAACTATTTAGAAAACCAGTTCGTACAAGGTGCTGCCCCAGTTCCGTGAACGCTAAGTTGGTGCAAATAAGTCCAATTTCACTATGGTTTATAGGTGATATATCTACGTATAGTTAATGGGCTTATAAACCGACGTTCACATCACTGGGGTGGCACCACCTTGTAATAGTTCTTGGATATATTTTTTCCATCCCCTGATGGAAGATCAATTTTCTTGATTAATGGGAAGATAGCAGGGGGATATAAACTGGTTGGTGGTTTTAACCATCTAGGAACATATTAGTCAATGGGAAGGATTATCCCATATATTATGGAAAAAAAACAATGTTCCAAACCACCAACCAGTAAATAATAGGACGTCATCAATATTTTATGTTAAAGTTTTGAGCAAATCATCTTGATAGTGGGATTTAGATACATAAAAATGGAATAGTAAGAATTTAATGGATCAGTTGGATAATGCGATATTTCAAAGAAAACAGGGGTCTTGAAGGCAAGACATCACAATCATGGGAATTCACCAAGCATCCTGGGTGAACACCCGAATATGATAATAGTTTATCTCTGCCCCAGATAGGCAGCAGCCCTAAGACGCTTTGATGTACCCTCTGATAAACTAACATATAGTCCATTTATAGATGAGCTACCTACCAAAATGGTGATTTTCTATAGCTATGCAAACGTTTACCAGAGGATATAACCATGGGTTTTAAACCCCTGTACGTTGTGATATGGGCCCCCTATAACTATGATGAATTGCATAACTGGAACTGCACCCTCGAGTAGGAGGGTAGTCCCATCTTAGGAAAATGCTACGAAAATGATAAGCTCAGTTCCAGAGAAGTTCATCTTGCTATCATGCAACATATTTTGACCTTATTTTATTTGTTCTTGCCTCCTGCACTTTTCATGAACATCCACATCATTAACCTGATTTAACATTACTAAGATATAAATCATCTACGTATTCATATGCTATTCAACTGCATTCACCTTCATTAACATCATTTAACATCCACATCAGCCACTCTTTGTTTAAATCCACCCAGGTTAGCTCTACTTTTACGTACCCGCTCAAAAGTTGACCGATCTGATCTGTTGGTCAATTGGATCATTCCAGAAATAAGGATGGACGATTAAATAAAAGACGGATACAATGAAAAAGATCCGGCCCATCAAGGATGGTTCATATTTAAACATCGAAATTTAGACTCTAACTGCTACTTTTCATAGATTTCTGTTGAAACTCACTTGCTGGTCTGTGGCACATTCTGCGCCTGCCATTTGTTTTTCATAGAACTACTGGATGCAATCTTACTCTCTTTGTGCTAATCTAGAAATCATAGATACCATTTAATGAGCCCAAAACATGTGGATATCGTTTCATAAACCGAAAAAAAACATTCATAAATCACATCGAGTGTCACCATGTTTTGAGGGTCAAAGAACCATGAATCGTCGGGTCTTTTGGGGCTTCGATTCAGTGAATTACAGCCTTTTTTCGGAAGTCAATTGGACAACCAAACCATCAACAACCACATTATATTCTATCAGTTTCTGGGAAAAAACTCCTTATTTCTACATTTGTTACAAAAGGACTTCTTTTTTCCTGGGCCTTCTTCGTTCTTTTGCCTCCCCCCTTTCCAAATACTGTACCACAGCCTCTACAAAATTGCAGCCGGCAGTCGGAATGGCACTGAAGAATAGGAATTCATACCTCAAGTCTCCGCTGGTGAGATCTCTTGATCATCCAAAGTGGCTGAAGTGGTTGTTGTAACATGTTATAACCATGGTTTTCCTATGGTTTTCCTATGGTAACATGTTATAAACCATGGCAAATCTGGCAGATACCCTGCAAAAAATGACAGATTCTTAGCTGGTTAGTTAGTAGATAATCCCATATCAAAACACTATTTTGGATTAGTTTCTACCCATCCAAGATTGCCCTAGTAACCCACTTATACTTGCAAGGTGGTGCCCCCGTTTGATAGCTAAGTTGGTGCGTTCATAACTCCAATTTCACTATGGTTTATGATAGATATATCTATACTTGATGTTAGATATATTATCTATAGTCAATGGTAGATATATTTATGCTGACTTAATGGGTGTTATAACCAACTTAATGGGTTATAAACCAACAAACATCACGTTTGGGGGGTACCGGGTACTGTCGGATAACTAGCCACACTGTGAACTTCCCCGGTAGCCAGTTACTTTGGTTGTGGGATCCGGGAGAGGAAGCGAACGTGAACCCAAGCTTTGGGCATGAAACGGCTACTTTCTATGCATGTAGATGTAGTTCTCTATAGACAAAGTAGCCCCAAAAGATGGAGAAGTGTCTTTTACTATAAAAACCGATAAAAACCGATAAGAATCTTACATTACCCTCCAGTAAATTAACAGTTTGACCCTGGCAGTCATCGGGGTTGAAAGATTAGTTTCCTCTAAACATTGGTGATGAATACAACTCCAGGAACATAAATTCCCTATCTACAAATCATGAATGTTATGTATATAGAACACGGTTATGAATGATATAACATGTATATGCATGTCGATATATTTATATATATATATATATATACATATCTATATCATACGATCATCTAATTATATAAATGATACGCTTCGCTGCTTATCTGAGTGGGTTACCCTCTGGTAAACTAACATAACTATGGAAAATCACCATTTTTAATGGGTAAATCAACTATAAATGGGCGATTTTCAATAGCTATGTTAGTTTACCAGAGGGTACCTCAACCATTTCACTCTGATATTGAGCTGAGCCACGTGTGATTCTCCTCTGGTGTCCAGAAGAACTTTTTAACCTCAACGCACGGGCTGCTGGTGAACAGGCCATTGACAAACCAGCAACACCATCAAACACCAGTGATGTTTCAGAAACAGAACATTCACATGAAAGATATCTTAAGATCATGTACCCTCTGGTAAACTAACATAGCTAGTGAAAATGGCCATTTATAGTGAGGTTTCCCATTAAACATGGTGATTTTCCATAGTTATGTTAGTTTACCAGAGGGTAAGCAACCAAAAATAGCAAAAAACATGTGGATTTTTCGGTAAAACGATCGATTTTCTGGTGAATTAAGCCATGGAAATCTGCTGGAGTCCCCCCCTGGAGGCTTCAATCCATTGGTGAAACTTCTTCGATCTCCCATTGCGTCAACTTAGTTAATTTTTTTGGGGGTCTCATATGATATCATACCCTCTGGTAAACATACAAAAAACTATGGAAAATCACAATTTTTCATGAGAAAATTCACTATAAATGGTGATTTTCATTGATTTTCCATAGTTATGCTAAATTACCAGAGGGTAAAATCCAACTCCAATTTTTTTCACCAGACATTCTGCAGCGCAAAAATCCGCACATCTGTGACCGTGTTTTTTTCCAATCAACCCATGATTTGATCGTCCTGCTTCCGCCACGACCATGGGGGTTGTCCCAAGAGCTGGATGGTTGAGTTCAAACTCCGAAAATCATGGGATTTAGCGGGTTTCCCCATTGAATTTATGGAACCCCCCGAATATATCGCTTCATATTTTTTCATAAGGCACTGCAAAGAACTAGCCTCTGGTAATTGCTGGAAAATCCGTTTCGGCTTTTAGGCGATTTTCCCATGACACCCTCCATTTTAGACAAAGCCAGACTTCACCGACTTCAGCCCGTTTTGGATCAAGGAACTGGGCCCAGTTTGGCCAAATCGCGTTGACTGGCCCAATCCCGAGCGATTCTCGCAGGCATCAGAAGCTCTCGAGGACGCGCTTCTTGGAGATGTTGGTTGAAAGGCAGTAGCCCCTGGCAATCAATGGATATGAACATGGAGGTTTCAATGGCAAAAACATAACTGGTTGGTGGTTTTAACTATCTTTAAAAATATGAGTTCGTCAATGGGAAGGATTCTCCCATGTATGAAATGGGAAATATAAAATGTTCCAAACCACCCTCCAGATAAGATGAGGCCTGTCTCTGAGGCCGCTGATGCATGGCTTGATGAATGGGGGAGATAACGGACTAGTTGTAATGGGGATATACGCTAACACACACACATAACTGGGAGACCTCACCTTATAGGGATAAAACGAGATGTTAATGGAATATTCATGGGATATGATAAATGTGTCATGGTGAAGTTACATCATATATATATATATATTATAGGGGTCCCTGGTTTTCCAAATGCCATGCGGAAACGACCATCCCCATCCGTGGCAAGCTCAACCATGGTTTGACGTTGGCTATCTTATTGGGATATGTCATAGCAATATACCAATCATAATTGGATAATTGGTATATTAATGGACTATAAACCAACTTGATATGTGATGTGGATGTGTCTGAACATGCAAGATGGTGCCCCAGTTCGTGAACGCTAAGTTGGTGCAAATAATTCCAATTTCACTATGGTTTATGGTAGATATATCGAACTAACTACTTACTATGGTTTCTGTTAACCAACGTTCACATCACTGGGGCACCACCTTGTGGGGGTTAGAAAACATAGTTAGTTTTCTATGGCCATTTTCTATACGAAATTCCTATGGTTTTTCTTCACCAACGAAACCACCTCAGTTTGGGGCACCACCGCCCGGTTTTCGGTCAAATCCAGTGGATGGGGAAACGGCGGCAATTTTCGCCGAAGTTGTTGAGACACGCCCATGTTCTAGACATCAAGTTGCTGATATCCTGTCGATATTCCATTAACATATGATATATATATATATATAATGTATATGTATACATATATATATATACACATATGTATATATATATATGTCTATATGTGAAAAAAACACATGAACTGCGTGCTCCTTGCGTCGGCTCAAGACTACGGTCTTCTTCGCCCCAGTTTTCTTCACTCAAGGAACTGGAAGAAGTCACCCCATCATCGTCAGATGGCACACTGATAGCATCATTCTCTGGACCAGAGGTGGTCAACAAGATGCCGGTGCTGCAATCTTCGAGGTGTCAGGATGCTGACGTAGCTATGGAAACCATGGCACAAAAAAAAGGCACATCATCTATTTCTATGGTTCATCTATATCATAAGAAAATTACCCAGAGGGTACAACCAACCCCTGGTCTATTCATACTAATATTTCATTAATGTATACATACGTGTATTAGTCTATCAAATTTACCCAGATGGTTTCATGAACATAGATGGTTGATTTTCCAGATCTATGCTAGTTCACTCTAGGGTAAATCTCATTTCAATGAAACCATAGCCTTAATTTCAGTATATTCTACCAGTAGTACCGCACAAGGCGGTAGCGGAAGTTTCAAACATAGGAAACCTATAGGAGAGGTTGGTTGTTGTGAATCAGGGATGGCAGAGCGAATCCACTGATGGACCGAAAGGTGCTTGAGGTCTCCTCTCTTTCTCTCTCTTTCTCTGACTATCTACCCACCTACCAACCTATATTCTATGTATCTATCTATCTATCGATCGATCGATCTATCTATCTCTCTATCCATCCATCTATCTTTTGAATCTATCTACCTATCTTTCTTTCTAATCCATCTATCCATCTATCCATCCATCTATCCATCTATCCATCTATCTATCTATCGATCGATCTATCTATCTATCTATCCGTCTACCTATCTATCTATCTATCTGTCTATCTATTTATCTATCTATCGATCTACCCATCTATCTATCTATCTATCTATCTATCTATCCGTCTATCTATCTATCTATCTATCTTTCTATCTATCTTTCTATCTATCTATCTGTCTATCTGTCGAGCTGTCTATCTGTGGTGCAGTGTCATTCAGTGTACTGTAGTGTAGTGTAATGTAGTGTAGTGGAGTGTAGTTCTGCATTCGTAGTTGTAGTTGTAGTGTAGTGGAGTGTAGTGTAGTGTAATGTAGTGAAGTGTAGCGGAAGGTAGTGTAGTGTAGTGTAATGTAGTGTAGCGTAGTGGAGTGTAGTGTAGTGTAATGTAGTGTAGTGTAGTGTATTTTAGTGTAGTGGAGTGTATTGTAGTGGAGTGAAGTTGTGTAGTTCTAGTTGTAGTGTATTGGAGTGTAGTGTGGTGTAATGTAGTGAAGTGTAGTGGAAGGTAGTGTAGTGTAGTGTAATGGAGTGTAGTGTGGTGTAATGTAGTATAGTGTAGTGTGATTTAGTGTAGTGAAGTGTAGTGGAGTGTAGTGGAGTGTAGTGGAGTGTAGTTGTGTATAGTTGTAGTGTTGTGTAATGTAGTGTAGTGTAATGCAGTGCAGTGTAGTGGAGTGTAGTGTAGTGTAATGTAGTGTAGTGAAGCGAAGCGACATCTGAACATCCAAAAGTGGTTAGTGTTTTGTACATTTTCACTTCGAAATGTGCTTCGCGCCACAACGGCGTGCACTTTTTCGACATCTGAACCTCCAAAAGTGGTCCGGACCTGGTGTGCTTTGTACATTTTGACTTGGAAATGTGCTTCGTGCCACAACGGCGTGCACTTTTTCGAGATCTGAACTTCCAAAAGTGGTCCGAACCCCTAGTGTTTTGACATTTTGACTTCCAAATGTGCTTCGCGCCACAACGGCGTGCACTTTTTCGACATCGCAACTTCCAAAAGTGGTCCGACCATGGTGTGTTTTGTACATTTTGACTTGAAAATGTGCTTCGCGCCACAACGGCGTGCACTTTTTCGACATCTCAACTTCCAAAAGTGGTCCGAGAATGGTGTGTTTTGTACATTTTGACTTGGAAATGTGATTCGCGCCACAACGGCGTGCACTTTTTCGACATCGCAACTTCCAAAAGTGGTCCGACCATGGTGTGTTTTGTACATTTTGACTTCGAAATGTGCTTCGCGCCACAACGGCGTGCACTTTTTCGACATCTCAACTGCCAAAAGTGGTCCGGACCTGGTGTGTTTTGTACATTTTGACTTCGAAATGTGCTTCGCGCCACAACGGCGTGCAATTTGTCATCTCTCATCTGGCCAGCTGGCTCCGCACCCGCCGCTTTAGCGAGCCTACTTTTCGACCCTCCGGAGCCCCAAATCATTGGAAAAACACAGTGTTTCGCGACTTTCCTACCTTTTCGCGCATCTGCATCTTCTTTCTTCTTACTCTTCTTTCTTCTAATCTTTCTCTTCTCTCTGCCGTGTCGAAAGCTAAGTAATACTGCTTTCCGGCTCGCGTTCGGGCGAGCTTCTTCCCTCCGACAGCATCGTCCCAGGGGTGCGAGGCAATGAAAAAGTTGTGCGCTCGCCCCGTCCTCTGTGGCCATCCCCCAGGAATGAGTCCGTGCTCGATGATCTTCTCCATCGCAAAGCGATCACAGCTGTGGTAAATCACTCTGGGCAACTGCTGCATCATTTCAGGTCTGAGGTTGGTGCGTGGAAGTTTGACACCGTCGAGATCTTCCTTCTTGAAAAGGGGGTCCAATGTGAACACCTGCTTGACGAGGCTCGAGATCTTGGCATTCTCGACCACCGATTAGATATTCTCTAATTTCAGATATCGTAGATATAATTTACTATATATATATAATATTTACCTCATGCCCGATTCTCTAATTTCAGATATCGTCCCGTAGCCGGCCTCTCCCTTCGTTCCTTAGTTGGGCCGAGCCAAAGTCACTTGCCAAGTGGAACGAGGCTGTCAATGAAGACATTTGAAGTATCTGTATAGACTGTATAGAGTGTATACATGCATGTATATAAGAATACACTACTATTTTTTTTTAAAAAAACTAATATTACATATATTTTAAAAACATAATATAGTATAATATAATCATATAATCACATATAATATAATAGAATAATATATAATATAATATATTATTGTTATTGTTATTGTCAAAAAACTCATCGGTAACTCGGAAGATTGCTTCCCAACTTCCTTTGATAATTCAGTTAGATCTTTGGATTATTTCATGGTTAAGTATCATTTAAATCATCAACCATAGATATATAATCAGATGTATACATATATATATATATTTATATATATATACATACACGTCATTAATAGCAATAATTAGACTATAATTATTTGTCTAACCATGGCTAACAAACATATGTATATATATATATATCACCTACATCATAATGACATCACAAAGGCTTTTGAATCACAAAAAAATCCCTCCAAAATCACTGCCGTCCAAAATCTCACCGGTGACGTTGGCATTGCATCGTCATGGGTGTCCTGCACACGACCATATCTTCTAGCATATTCTAACCATGGCTAATGAAGTACTATTTTAGCCATATACAGTATTTAATTAGCCATGGTTAGAATAGCATACTATTTTAAGTACTATTTTTGATTAATGATGTGTGTTATATACATAAATATATATGTACATTGTATATCTGTGGTTGATGATTTTCATGGTATTTAACCATCAAATAATCAAAAAAGCGAGGTGAATCTATTTTAACATATGGGAAACATCTATAACAATAGTACTCCACCATCAATATACCATCAATTATACGGGTCGAAATTGGGGTTAAACTTTAAACTTTAATCACGGTTCTATCTTTTTATATCTTTCTGGGGTTACTATACTTGAATTTTGAGTGAAGGACCCCGAAAATAAGAAGATTGATTCCCCATCTACAGTAGTTGGTTTTTGGGTAAACATTACATTCAACTTACTGGTGCGTTTTACGTAGGGAATTTTAGGGAATGATCCCAGTCATCACATTCGTAATGTCATCATCCCAGCAACCCCCAGCAACCCATCCATTCCCTACGTAAAACGCACCAGTAAGATTACCCTTTGGTAAACGTTTACATAACTATAATCACCATTTTATAGCTGGGAAAACTCACTATTTCAATGGCCATTTTCAATAGCTATGTTAGTTTACCAGACGGTGAGCTGGTTTTGGTGGGTTGTAGTCTGTTGTCAGCATGTAATCTTCTCGGTGAAACCAGCCTTTTTGCATGGCTAGGAGCTACCAGGCGTGTCAAGGCTAGCGTCATTCACCAAGAAAATCCCCGTGGGATCAGGATGATGCGCGTTCAGAAAACGGGTGACGAATGATCCTTAAATTCTTTGGGGGAGTATATTCTATTATATTAACAAAAACATTGTTCGGGGAACTATATTCTATTATATTCTATTATATTGTTTGGGGAACTATCTTATCTTTTTATCTGGAAAAGAAACAAACAACAATTAAAGGATTTGACTACACGTTGTTGAAGGGTAGCTGGCCAATCTGCGGCCTTTCTTTTTGCTGCTCAAACTACGCACATCGACCTTGGCCAATTATAAGTTTATGGAGGATATGACAAACCGTTTGTGAATGGGCTTTGGACATGGCCAATCTTAGATACCCTGCAAAAAATGACAGATTCTTAGCTGGTGAGTTAGTATATAGATAATCCCATACCCAAAGACTATTTTGGATTAATTAAACTACCCATCCAAGATTGACCTAGTGGAAACGAAGATTTCACAACGGGGCCTCACCAAACGTAGTACTTAACATTTCACCATTTCACCCAGGGATTCCATACCTGGATTAGTTCACATCTGCTAGGAATCACTACTCCCCTGGTAAAAATGGCCATGGAAAATCCACGGTTTATGGTTTATGGTAAAAATAAGCCATGGATTTTGCAAAGGATAAAATGCTCCAGCTATGAGTTCGAGGATTTTCCAGCCACGGCAATGATGACCCGAGGAGAATCAAAGAAACATCTCCGAGGTTTTCAGATCCTCGTTGTCCCTGAAAAACTTGTTGCTTTGATCCGGATTTTCGTCCCTGAAAAAAATGGCAGAAGCAAGAGATACCATGAGATACCTGCCAGTTGATCTTTTCACAACTCATCAACAAAACCGTCATTTATTAGTTATAACCATAAATAAAACCTATTTTCAACCCCCAAAATGTGATGCACTTCCATTAAAAATCCATAAAACTTGCTAGTGATAAAGTATGTCGCCTCTGGTAAAGTAACATAACTATGGAAAATCACAATTTTTCATGGGAAAATTCACTATAAATGGCTATTTTCAATAGCTATGTTAGTTTACCAGATGGCTTTTTCAGCCCATATACCATGATGGTCAAGTCCCATCGAGCCCACTATAATGATGCCCAATCAACCATGAATTACTACCGATATCCCCGGTAAACGTTTACGGTTTGCTATTCAAAATTATCCATTGAAATAGTGAGTTTTCCCATCTATAAAATGGTGATTTTCTATAGTTATGTAAACGTTTACCAGAGGGTATATCCCTGTATATTTCATGATTACAACAACTGAGAATCCCCACTTGGAGGATCATCCCACTTGGTAAGTGACTGATAACCCTAGTAAGTTCCAATTCTTGGGGTTATCCCATGTACAAATATATATATATATATATATACAGGTGGTGGCAGAATTATAGAACGGAGCCAGGAGTACAAAAGTACGGTAAAATACCGTACCTTTGTACTCCTCCGGGTTCCGATTCCGCGCGGAGTCGGGAAATTTCCCCGTTCTATAATTAAATGGGATGATGATCATAGTATCTTTTTAACTGGGAATGATTTAGAATAACTATCTTTTTTTTGGGGGATATAGATACAATGATTTAAAATACTAAAACTAAAACTATAATATCATATTACTATAATGGGATGATTTAGAATGACTCCCCAGTGCCCAGTCATGGATGATTTCACTGGGTGGCATTGGCTTTACCAGCTGAATCCTGACAAGGTGAAGACCGTCAGTGATGATTGTTTATGAACCCATCAACTCTAGTTCTATTTCCCATAAACCCAACAGTTCAGCAAGTGAACTGTGCGTCAAACTTAGCTATCGCAAACAACCGGGGCCTCACCCTGCATCTATGATTATTTTTGGATGATTCTCCCAGCTAGAAGCCTCCATTTATAGTGGATTTGCCCATGTTCTCCCAATTTTTCTTATGATTTTCCCATTGAACATGTAAATTTCCCATGAACATGGTCAAATTTCCCCGCTAACCTACCACGGCCATGATGACACCGACCCGCTCGTAGCCATCGCACCTGTTGCTTCGTGAGCCGTTGGATCAACGAACTCGTCTCAGTCTCGCACGAGCTTGAGTCGGCGGAGGTCGAGGACAGCAAAAAAAGTAATCTGGACAGGTGCTGGGCGGCGGCGAAGCGGGTGATTTTGTGGCAGTTTATGGTAGATAGATACGTACATATTATGCGAATCGGGGATTGCCTACCCGATTATGTTCCAATGGTTGATGTTGAGGATAAATGTTCCAGTTCGACGACGTCACACGGGCAGCTGCTTCCGCATTGCTGATCTTTTCTCCAGTGCTGCAGTGGGTCTTGAGCCAAAGAGGCCAGTTCGGATTGCCCCTTTGGTGCTGGATCACAGAGTGTTTAGTTGTGATATTATACTTGATCCGTAGTCTACACTCTATTCGCACCCCCCACGCATAGCCAACTTTGTTGGCTACGCGCAAAGGAGTGTTCTTTGAATTGATCCACTACACTCGCAGCTGTTCATTTATTGAATTATGGAGAGCTAAAGTCCGTTCAGAACTTCATATCTACATGGCGGCTTGCTACAATCTCTACCAAAAAAATGAAGGTTCTGTTCACGTGCATGTAGACACGACGTAGTCGGTGTCTAGCATTGAGGTTCATCCAATGTGGCGTAGCCAGCATGGAGTCTCACTCAAGCATGTGAATTAAAGAAATCAAAACACAAAGTTGACTATGGAACTAGAAGTTTACCTTCCCGTCCCTTCGTCGGTTGAGACGTAGACCGCTGTAGAAACTCAGCGTTTCATGCAATGATGTTCAAAAAAAAATGTGTGGTTCTAAATTAGCCGGCTCAGAGTCCTCTCAGAAATCATTCAAAATGAAGTAGAGGTAAATCTCGAGCAATGATTGCATCCTCGCATCGCCAGGTTCAATCAGGACCTATGCAGAGGTCAGATCGCTTAATCATCTATATCCCCATCCATAGTATCCCTGTTGGTTCCAGTCTCCGCCACGGTGTGAATAAGATTTTCCACCTTTTCCTTGGTCTTTTCCACCCTTCTTTGGCGGGGTCACTGGAGCTTGTTTTGGCGGAGGAGCGGTTTCAACTGTTCTCCATGTCGCTGACGATGATGCTTTCGCTTTCGACACTCTTCCCAGTGCTGGTGCAGCTTTCGGGGCTGCTTTCGATTTGCCAGCGGCTGGATTGGCACGTACACGATCAGCAGGAGTCGGGGTATCAGCAATCGCAAGTATGTGAGCTTCAGACAAGTGGATGCCCCACCTTGGTCGTTGATCTTCCCGTTGCTTGATGTGATTGTAGTCATCGATCGCATCATATAGCTTTTGGAGTAGAGGTCGCGGCAATTGTCGGCCATTCTGAAGGATCAGGTGTAAAAGTGATATTCTTCGAAGTGGTGGACGAAGAGCACACACAATGTCAACTGGATTCAGTGTGATTTTGTCTTGAAAGTCAACGTTCCTGAAGAAATAAACAGCATTTACCCTATATGCACCTGCAATGATTCTTCTGACCATGACGTCTTGTCGGTCAAGGGCGTCGCGGGCCGCTGTGGTCTTTCTCATCTCATCCATTGTGGTGTCACGTTTCGACAGCTTCTCCATCTCCTCATCAAAGAATATGTTTTGCAAGTCATCATACGTGTAACCACATTCAAGGGTATATATGAGAAGTCTTTTGAGTACCACTGCCCCATAGTATGCATTGACGAATCCCTCTTCTCCGATGTCGTCCTTTTGATTTGGTCGGCCGATCTCTTTGTAGAGCTCTTTCATCTGTTGTGCAGTTGGTTCAATGAGTTCACCATTTTCATCCTCGCCCAGGTAAGGTGTTCTTGAGTCCAGGTCCATCCTGAATTTCTGGTTCTGTTGAAAATGTTTCCATGCCGTCTCGATGTCTCCACAGAAGTTCCGTTGGAATAGTCTGTAGATCCTGACGATATGTAATCCAATCTGCAACAGGAGGATCTTGATGAATTCTGGCTGAGCATCTCCAATTGTGCAGGGTTCGATCGGCAGGACCTTTGATCCAAACTCAATCCGCTGCATCCACTTGGGGTACTCAATCACTGCATCACGAGCTTCTCCAGCCTCGTACTCTTCAATGTTGATTTCATCGACCGCTATCTCTTCATCATCGTTCTCATCGGTCGGTTTTCCTTCTTGATTGAGAAATTTGTCGACCTCATCTTGTTCTCTGAAGTCTCTTTTCTCATCATTGATGTCGCCCTTCTTCGAGGCTTGATCATCATCTCCTTCTTCTGGTTGAGTTTCTTGTTCTGGACTCTTCATGGTGACATCATCATCATCTGGCATCACCTCGTCGTCATCATCATCACCTGTCAAATCGATCTTCACCTCCTCCCATGCTTTCTTGACATGGTCTTTGAGATCTTCTTCTCGATGATGTGATTCGGCCTTGGTACTGTAGCCACGGTGATCTTGATTCGTTTCCTCCATCCATGACTCACCAAAAATCCTTTGCACATCACACAAATCGATAATGGCGCAGGGGTCTCCATCAGACATGCGGGGCATAGTCGATGGTCCTCTTTGCTAGGGTGATGAGTGACTGCCAATAATGAAATTGCATCATTCCAATCCGGATGTCCAGGGAACAATCTGTGAGTATGACTGAAGTGACCGGTCCTGATATCGACAAGTTTTCGAAGTTCGTCTAGATCGGGTGATGATTCTTCAGGCACAATGTTTCCAATGAGCTTGTCAAATCGTTCAATGGTGGCCACCCTCTTCGCGCCTTGCACAGAAAGAACAAGTTGATCTCTTCCCTTCGTGATCATGAGACGGTAGTAGTCCTTTTCTCTCCAGTCGTAATACCAAACCGCATCGAATGATTCGAATGGAATTGTTTCTTGGACCAAAATGTGTCCGTCTGCTGATAATCGAGGGGAGAACTTGGCGATGGAATCATACGTGATGTAGATGTAGACAAGATCAGTTTGATCAATCTTCCTGAATCTCAGCACCATCTGACTTCTCACATCCCACGGCGCGAATGGCACGAAGAACGTATTGATGCGGTCGCCTCCTCCTCCTGGACGTAGTCCTTCTCTGAAGATTTGAGCGATGTTGTCAAATGTGGTGCAATGAAATCCTCCTCCAAGAGTGTATCCTACTCCAGGGTTCATCTGATATGAAGTCTTCTTGTCTTCAATGTGCACACCGCCTTGAACTCTTGAATGCGCCATAGGGGCACGGATTGCCACCGGCCAAAGCCAAATCTCTCGATCTGCTGTGCCGATCTCCACCTCAGTGTTTGTCGATCAAGTCTAGAGGTCAATCCATCATTGAAGTTGTTCATGATGTGTTCCAACTCACCTTTCGTGACCTTGAGTCCTAGCACTTGTGCTCGGATTCTCTTCGTTTGCTTGTACTCAGTGAAGATCACTCTCTGGAAATTGTTCCACCTCTCAACAAGTATCGGATAATTGACGTAGGTCGTTCCAGCCAATGTATGTTGGTCTCTCCAAATGGCATCGTACTTCAAGATCGACTCAACATTGACCCAACCTGCCTCGTCGCATGGTAGTCCACGGTGATTTCGATTGTCTTTGACGCAACCCACGGAGTGGCGTAGCGCTGCATTGAATCTTTTCGACAATTCGACTATCCATTGCGGATTTTCCCACTTGTCGCCCATCCACTCATTCTCGCCATATCGATGCACTTTACACCAGCCCATTCCAAGATATTCTTCTCCATTAATGCGAGCAAGTTGAAGTGTACCAATGTTGTGGCCATGTGTAAATGGTTGGATGTACTTGAAGTTCCAGTTGTCTCCACGTTGTTTTCTTTCTTCAATAAGCCATTTTACATAAGCATCATGATCAAGGGGGTTCCAAGCGTTCAGCTCTTCAATGGTCGGCAAAACAGGCGGGGATTCCTCAGCCGCACGCTCAATCAGCAAGTCAAGCTCATGACGATTCTTCACACCTCGGCTAATTGGGTTGACTTCGACACCATTCACTAAGTATTGTCCTCCTTCTTCACGATCACCAATGTCGTACATAAAAGCTGACTGACTGTAGAAGCACTTGGTCACTTCCTCTTTCTCAGTGAATCTGGTTCTTCCCCAACGCTTTCCTCGTGGCATGACGTTCTTTGGGAGCTTGTCTTTTCTGCCTCTGGTTGCAGCTTTGGACCTTTCGGATGATGATGGGGATTTGGACTTCTGATCCATGATCAACCTCATGCGCCATATGGTGTCCTTCATGTTCTCATCATCTGGTGTAGTACATTCGTCAATGCCATGCCTTCCACCACAAATGAAACAATATTGAACATCCAATGCATCTGAAATCAGCTTCTCAAAACGATCACGGATGTCACGCACCTCGGTTCGGCGCTTCTTCGCTTCTGAAGGTTGTCCCCCCATGCCATCTTCCTCCTCCTCAATCTCGATGTCACCAGCTCCGGCATCGGTTTCTCCTGAAGTTTGTTCTGCTCGAGGGCCCCGCGCCGTAGGCGTCGTGGTCTCCTCATCAGGTTCATCAACTTCATCCACCTCTTCATCGCTTGATGAGACCTCAATCATTTCAGGGTGGTCATCGTAGTTGGCTTCTGGGAGCACCGGCATTCTGGTGATCTTCTTCTGCATGAGTAGGTCAAAAATTCCTGCTTCTTTCAAGATTGTAATCACCATGTCATTCTCGACCGGCGGGATGTATGCTTTCCTGGATCGGTTTCGCTTTGTGTTGATGGTGTCGGTAGGTCGACATGAACTGCTGAATAGCCAAAACGACTCTTCCAGTCCTGCGAGGCAACTGTCAAGGTTTGCCCCCCATCCAGCGAACATAGTAGGGAATTGAATACCCAGATCAAGCATTCCAAGCCAGAATTCGAAAATGTCGCCGACATACTCAGCTGTTGCGGTTGGATTGATCATTGATGTGATCTCCTCCTTGGTCAGCACGGTCTTCATGTAGTCATGATAAGCAACGTTTCCACCATCCCAAAGCAGTCTGTAAAACCATCGCATTCGGTGCATTCCGCCTCCGCAATCCTCTGTTCGAGTTTCACGTTGTACAGTGAATTGGGGTAACAGGTCTCGTCTGCATTTCCCTTTCAGTGTCGCAGTGACCAGGAATCCACGGAGGT